GGTGGTGCGGAGCTGTGGTCTGTCCACTCCTTCTCCTCACTCACCACCATTCCGAACAAATCAGTCAGGAACCCGCACTGGACCCATGGCTTTTAAAGATCAGAAAAAACACGTGGGGAATTGGAGGTGGCCATTCACCAAATTCGAATCTCTCTAATGAGCCGCAATGTAAAATCCCTGGAGAAAGTGTGTGCTGACCTGATCACAGGAGCAAAGAGAAAGAATCTCAAGGTGAAAGGACCAGTTCGAATGCCTGCCAAGACTTTGAGAATCAGTAAAAGAAAAACTTATGGTGAAGGTTCTGAGACGTGGGATTATTTCCGGATGAAAATCCACAAGCGACCCACTGACTTACACAGTTCTTCTGAGATTGTTAGGCAGTTGGTTTCCATCAGTATTGAGCCAGGAATTGCGGCAGAAGTCACCATTGCAGATGCTCAAAGTCAACTATTTTAATAAATTGATTATCAGTTGTTAAAAGCAATATGGGCTAAGGGTGGTGGCTGACGCCTGTAATACCAACACTTTGGGGAGGTCAAGGTGGGTGGGTTGCTTGAATCCAGGGGTTCAAGACCAGCCTGGGCAACATAGTGAAACCTTTATCTTATTTTTTTAAAAAAGAGAGGAACAATACATCCAATGTCTGTCAGTTGATGACTATAGTGTGGTATGTCTATACAACGGAATATTACTAGGCCATTAAAAAGAACAGAGTGCTGATTCCATGCTATAACATGGAGGAAGCTTGAACACATGCTAAGTGAAAGAAGCCAGTCACAAAAGATAACATATTGTAGGATTTCGCTGATATGAAATATCCAGAATACCTAAATTCATAGACAGCAGATCGGTGATTGATTAGACTGAGGATAAGGGATGGAGGAGTGACTAGCATGGGTCAGGGGTTTTTTTTGTTTTTTTTTTGGGGGGGTGGGGTGGGGTGCAGGGTGGTTTGAGGATGGTTAAAATGTTCTAAAGTTAGACTGTGATAAATGGTTGTACAACTCTGAATATACAGAAACCACTGAGTGGACGAATATTACAGCATGTGAATTACCTGTCTGCTGTTTAAAAAAATAGAAACAATACAAAATGGAATGTAACTGAGTATGAATTTGTGTGATTTAGACAGTAACTGTTTTATAGAAAATGAGAGATGAGACATTGGTGTAAACAAGGCTTCCTAGTTTTTTTTTGTTTTGTTTTAAGATAGGGTCTGGTTGGGTGCAGTGGCTCACACCTGTAAACCCAACACTTTGGGAGGCCGAGGCAGGCATATCACTTGAGGTCAGGAGTTCGAGACCAGCCTGGCCAACATGACAAAACCCTGTCTCTACTAAAATACAAAACTAAGCCAGGTATTGTGGCACATGCCTGAAGTCTCAACTACTCCGGAGGCTGAAGTGGGAAAATGGCTTGAACCTGGGAGGTGGAAGTTGCAGCAAGCTGAGATCATGCCACTGTGCTTCAGCCTGGGCAACAAAGCAAAACTTCATCTTAAAAAAAAAAAAAAAACAAAAAAAGTCAAGGTCTCTGTCATCCAGGATGTAGTGCAGTGGCATGATCGTAGCTCACTGTACTTAAGTGAGCCTCCTACCTCAGCATCCTGAAGTGCTGGGATTGCAGGCATAAGCCACTGCGTCCAGCCCCTGGACATTTTGGATGGTGGAATTAGAGTAGTTTGGGGCAGGAGGACCCTGGAATGGCACTGACAGTCTCCAGGAAAGGAGTAAGCTTTGCTGTGCCAGGGAGGATGCAGCCGGGGCTGAAAGCATCCCAACTCGGGGAGGGACAGACAGCCCCTGGTAGAGAAAATGGGGCTAGATGGAGAGAGTGGAAGCCGATTGCAGGGAGCCTTAAAGGTGAGGCAGGGATGTGGATTTTATTCTGTACACAGGATAGATTTTTATTAGGAAAATAATGTAAAGCACATGACTACTTGGAAGTATCAGGGAGAGCCAGAACTGCAGCCCCAGGGAGGCCATTTAAAAGATTATCCCAGCTGGGCGCAGTGGCTCACGCCTGTAATCCTAGCACTTTGGGAAGCCCAGGCAGGTGGATCACAAGGTCAGGAGTTTCCAGACCAGCCTGACCAACATGGTAAAACCCCATCTCTACTAAAAATACAAAAATTAGCTGGGTGTGGTGGCTCATGCCTGTAACCCCAGCTACTCAGGAGGCTGAGGCAGGAGAGTCACTTGAACCCAGGAGGCTAAGGTTGCAGTGATCCAAGATTGCACCACTGCACTCCAGCCTGGGTGAGAGAGCAAGACTCCATCTAAAAATAAAAATAAAAATAATTATCTTGAGATGGTTCTGGGAAAGAGAGAGGGCAGAGCATACCTGAGCCACATTTGGAAGGGAACCGGTGTCTAAGCTTGCATCAGAGGAAAGCGAGCTGGCTCTTGAGGCTTTTGGAGATCACGTATGGTGGAGTTTTGTCTGCAGGTTCTGGTTGGGATGGGCAGAAGTTATGGATCCAAGCTGGTATCAGCTAGAGCGAGTGTCACCAGGGCTAGTGTTCCTTTGCTGTTTTCTCTTGGGGGGAAATAAATGCCTGGGGGTTCTTTACTGCATTTTTGTCTTTGGGGGCTGCTTTTTTTCTCTGGGAATGGCTGCAATAGGCCTTGTGATGCCAGAGGGTAAAAATTCAGCTTGCACAGATCACAAGCTGCGAAATACTTAATCACTCAGGTCATTTGAGGGAAATGAGATTTGATCAATAGGAATGTCTGCTCTGTTCCTTAAGAGTTGAGGCCAAACTGCTTTTCTCCTACCTTCATTTGGCAAAACCACAGACCATTAAAAATGGAAAGAATAACTTTTTCTAAGGCCCACAAAAGCTTGTTTTAATCGGTTGTGTGGTCTACTCACCTTTGTGGTGTTCCCCTTGACCGGACTCGCAAAAATAAATGTATGCAAGCCTAGTGGTTTCTGAGCTCTTTTAAAGCTGCACCCCCATTTCTGGTGACTCTTATTTAAGATAAAGCCCATGGGTTGATGTGGGCTGGGCCTGCAGCCTCAGTCCCCCCTGAGGGAGAAATGTCAGTCCCTGGTCACTTATGATGCTCAGGACCCTTTTTTTTTTTTTTTTTTTTTTTTTTTTTTTGAGACAGAGTCTTGCTCTGTGACCAGGCTGGAGTGCAGTGACGCAATCTCGGCTTACTGCCACCTCCGCCTCCTGGGTTCAAGCAATTCTCCCGCCTCAGCCTCCTGAGTAGCTGGGACTACAGGCGTGCGCCACCACGCCCGGCTAATTTTTTTGTATTTTTAGTAGAGACGGGGGTTTCACTGTGTTGGCCAGGGTGGTCCTGATCTCTTGACCTCATGATCCGCCCGCCTCGGCCTCCCAAAGTGCTGGGATTACAGGCGTGAGCCACCGCGCCCGGCCCCATTTTCATTTTTAATGTTTCTAGTGGAAGCCTGTTGAGCACTTCGGAAAGACCTTCTTTAAAATGATGGGGAGTGAAAGAGAAAAGGGAGATGAGAAAGGAAGGCAGTGAAGGGCCGAGGTGACTGCAGGTGTGCTCTTTATTGAGCATTTACTGAGCAACTCCTGAGTACCAGGCATGATAGTAGCTGCTGGGGATTTGAAGTACCGATGACACATCCCCATACTCAGGTTCAGAAAGAGGACTGCCCTTCAGTGTGACAGGAGGGGGAGGGCACCTAACCCAGACTGGGAGTCAGAACAGCCCTCGAGGAGAAGTCACCAACTAGGCTGAGACTGAAGAGTGAGTAGTGAGAGCTGGGGCAGCCGTGAGCCACAGCAAGGGCTGAGGGAGAGCATGCTGTTTCAGAGCCTTGTGCATCGGGGAGCAGCACTCGTTCCACAGAGTCTCTTAGGGTGAACAGATGGTGAGAAAAGGCCTCTCCAAGGCTGCGGGTGGAATGTGGGTGGAAGGTGTGAGAGGTGGAAGACGCCAGGAGTACATTTGAACATCCTAAAAGGAAATAGAAACTTCATTTCCCCTGGTGAGTGCAGAGGGGTTTATTCAGGAGACGGGTAACAGCCCAGGATGGTGGACTCAGGTGTGTCCAGGCACAGGCCTTTCTTGAACGCGTGTGGGAAGAGGCATTGGTCAGGGGAGAGACACGTGCCCTTGGTGGTATCAGATCTTGTGAGCTGCAGACACGCCCTGTGGGTCCAGCGCTCCCACCCAGGGACAGAGAAGGACAGGGCATGGGGAGGGAAAGTGGATGGTGGGGGGCCTGAGAGGGTATGCCCAGGCAGAGGGCTGAGGAGAAAGGAGCTTTGTATTCGACAGCTCCTGCTGCCAGAGCAAGTGTGGGTTTTGTGGCAGCTGCGGCCTCCAGTCCTAATACAGTCAACAGCTCCAAATCCCCTGGCCTGACACCTGCCAGCGAAAGGTTCCCTGAGCTGACCTCTCCTTGGGCTGCCCCCCCAACATGTGCATCTGACACATCGGGGGCCGGACCCCTACCCTCACCAAATCACGCAAATCCTGGACAGCCCCGTTGACAAATTGTCTTCTCTTGACCTGGGTGGGGGCTGCTGGGGTTTTCAGGGGCGGGGTTTGTTCAGCTGTTGCTAGGGAAGGGTGAGGTTGAGCTATCCCAAAGGAAATGGGGTGTTCCTCTTGCAAGTGGTGGTCTTGGCAAAGAACTGAGCGTCTGGGGAGGGGGCAACTCTGGACACAAGTCCTGGGGAGGGCGGACCTTTCCCCTTAGGATGGAGGGAAATGAAATGCAATCTGCTTAATGCTGCTACAGCTGCTTCCTAACTTTGCCTCTTTCTTCCTTTGACTTTTGGAGGAGTGGGGTGGAAAGACATGGGGGTTCCCAGGCAGCCAGCCATTTCTCCACTGACCCTTGCTCCAACTCCCGCTGCCCCAGCTCAGGAGCCTCCAGTAAGTGATGCCCAGGACGGTGCGGCTCCGGGTGGCCAGCGTAATTCCCTTTGTCTCTCCCCTCCTCCCCTCTCCCTGTCTTCCTCTCTCGCCCCTTGGCTCCTCTTCCCGGCCCTGTGGTGGCTGCAGCCCAGCCCTGGGGAGCCCCTGTGGAAGTAGAGTCCTTCCTGGTCCACCCTGGTGACCTGCTGCAGCTTCGCTGCCGGCTGCGTGATGATGTGCAGAGCATCGACTGGCTGCGGGACGGGGTGAAACTGGCGGAAAGCAACCGCACCCGCATCACAGGGGAGGAGGTGGAGGTGTGGGACTCCGTGCCCGCGGACTCCGGCCTCTATGCTTGCGTGACCAGCAGCCCTTTGGGCAGCGACACCACCTACTTCTCCGTCAATGTTTCAGGTTGGTAGCCAAGTCCTGCCCTCGCCTCTCCCTAGACCCACCCCCTCCAACGCTCTCTGCCAGTTTCAGGTTTCAGGGGGAGGTGAATGAACCTCCTCCCCTTCGTGATCTGCCCCCACTCTGCTTCAGAAACTGCTGCCCACTAACATTGCTCCCTGCCTGCCGCGTGGCTTGGCTCTCAGAGTTGTGAGCAGGTTGGGGGGCCCCAGGCCGGAGATCTGGGGCTTCCAGGACCCATCTCGGAGGTGATTGCCAGGGATCTTGGGACGTTAAGACCCTGTGATGTTTCCCACCACAGCTTGCCCAGATTGCCAGGAAGCTAAGTGATGCTCGGCCAGCTTCCACCCCACCACTCCCTTGCCGTTTGGACTTGGTACTTGGCTTAGTGATTAGAGCCCCCGAACAGGTGGCGGGATCCCTGCTGTGCTGGAGTGAGGAAACCAGGTGCACCGCAAGGGAGCTATGCCAGGGCAGCCAGGGAATCCTGGAGCTCTGTGAATCCAGGAACCTGCCACTCTGAGAATGTGACTTTCACAAAACTAGGATTTGAGGAAGTGGAGCTGAAATTTTCTTTATGCCATGTATGCACCTCGGGGTGTGGACTTGGCACCAGATCCCCAAAGGTGATAGGAAGGACTGGAGAAAGATCTGGCATGAACCCCAATGGGTGACCACATGTGTATCCAGCCTGTTCTTACAAGAAATAAGTACTTATTGGGGAGAGGTGTTGGCAGCTGCCGGGGTGGTGGGTGCCCTATCTGCTCTGGTTAAGGAGCGCAGCCGCCAAACCTTAGTAGACATATGCCAGAAAAATTCTGACTGTGGGTGTTTAGCCCATCCTTTGGAAATCGCATCTAGCCACAGTGCGTCGAGGCCTGCCTGGGTTTCCCTATAGTAGCTGTCCAAAGAAGAATACAGGCTGCCTGGCTGCAAGTTGAGACCCAACACACCCAGGTGGCACCACGAGTTGAGAGAGAGCCTTTGAATGCAGGATAAGTTAAAGAGGAACAGCTGACCCTGATGGAACCACCCAGTGTGAAGGCTTCCAGGCAGTGCTTCGGGGAAGGAAGGAAACACGAACAGGAACCGTGCTTAAACAGTTTCCATCCCACCGAGAGATGGTCACTAAGGGAGAAGTGGGACTGGGATCCCCATGGGGAGGGTGTCCGTGTTCATCTGGAACTGCACTAGCCTGAGTGAGTGAAATCCAGGCATCCCTAGGAGGAACCTCAGTGCCCCTTCTTCTTCCCATAGATGCTCTCCCCTCCTCGGAGGACGATGATGATGATGATGACTCCTCTTCAGAGGAGAAAGAGACAGATAACACCAAACCAAACCGTATGCGTGAGACACTGTTTCCTATCTTACTGCCCTGGGTTTTAGGTTAAAAGAGGGGAGGGAAAGGCTGAACGGGCTGGAGGAGAGGATACATGGGGTCATGGTGCCCGTTCTGCTAAGTGCTAGGCACTGCTCACAGGTGTTGGGCAGATGGGCAAGGCACCCCCAGGTCCTGACCTGGGCCCTGCTCCTGAGCCTGACAAGCTGCTCTTCCCACCCTGCCTGTCTCTCTTGGCTTTCCCTGGGCAGCTGTAGCTCCATATTGGACATCCCCAGAAAAGATGGAAAAGAAATTGCATGCGGTGCCAGCTGCCAAGACAGTGAAGTTCAAATGCCCTTCCAGTGGGACCCCAAACCCCACACTGCGCTGGTTGAAAAATGGCAAAGAATTCAAACCTGACCACAGGATTGGAGGCTACAAGGTATGTGTGTGTGCATGCGAAAGTTAGAGTAATGGCAACAGGGGAGGCCGAGTTAGGAAATCCTGATTATATGCTTTTAATTGTTTTAAGGAATCTTTTCCAACTATCCAGGTAATGCATTACATTTTTTTTCTTTTTCTTTTTTTTTTTTTTTTTGAGACGGAGTTTCGCTCCTGTTACCCAGGCTGGAATGCAATGGCGCGATCTCGGCTCACCACAACCTCCGCCTCCTGGGTTCAAGCAATTCCTCTGCCTCAGCCTCCCGAGTAGCTGGGACTACAGGCGTGCGCCACCATGCCCAGCTAATTTTTGTATTTTTAGTAGAGACGGGGTTTCACCATGTTGACCAGGATGGTCTCGATCTCTTGACTTCGTGATCCACCCGTCTCAGCCTCCCAAAGTGCTGGGATTATATACGTGAGCCACCGCGCCCGGCTGCATTACAGTTTTTAAATACAAACAAATGCAAATAAGGTTTAAAAATGTCTTGTCTTCTTTCTGTGTTATATGGTTTTTACATAGTTGATCACATCATGTATGTAATTTTCTTGCCTTCTTATTTGTTAACATGAGTCTTTTTTTGATGTTTTTTCAAGCATGACTGTTTGAAACATAATTTTTCATGACTGTGTAAGATTCCATTATTTTAAAATCCCATAATTTGGCTGGGCACAGTGGCTCCCGCCTATGATCCTACCACTTTAGGAGGCCAAGGTAGGTGGATTATATGAGCTCAGGAGTTTGAAACCAGCCTGAGCAACGTAGTGAAACCCCCTCTCTACTAAAAATACAAAAAATTAGCCAGACATGGTGGCAGGCTCTTGTAATCCCAGCTACTGGGGAGGCTGAGGCAGGAGAATCGTTTGAACCCAGGAGGCAGAGGTTGCAGTGAGCTGAGATCTCACCACTTCACTCTGGGTGACAGAGTAAGACTCTGTCTCCAAAAAACAACAATAAAACTCCCATAATTTAATGAACTATTGTGACATTAGGTATATTCTAGTTTTCACCATAGTAAATAATGTTGCAGTGAATCCCTGTCAGCATTTTTAAGTGTGCTTCCTTAGGACAGATTATTACACGTGAAATTACCAAGTTAAAGGGTTGTAAGCATTTTTTGAGCCTTACCAAATTACTTTCTTGAAAGGGAAGATTGATTCACCCTCCCATAGCAAGAGTATGAGAATGACAAATCCACTATACCTTTGCCAGCAAATTTGATAGACGAATTTGATAGGCAGTCCCGCCTTGTCCCTGGTGTCGCTGTCCGTGGTTTCATTACCACAGTCAACCAACAATTAAAAATAGATGAGACCGGGCATGGTGGCTCACACCTGTAATCCCAGCACTTTGGGAGGCTGAGGTGAGCAGATCACCTGAGGTCAGGAGTTCAAGACCAGCCTGGCCAACATGGTGAAACCCCGTCTCTGCTAAAAATACAAAAATCAGTTGGGCATGGTGGTGGGTGCCTATAATCCCAGCTATTTGGGAGGCTGAGGCAGGAGAATCACCTGAACCCAGGAGGTGGAGGTTGCAATGAGCCAAGGTCACACCATTGTGCTCCAGCCTGGGCAACAGGAGCAAGATTCTGTCTCAAAAAAAAAAAAAAAAAAAGATGAGTACAGTATAATAAGTTATTTTGAGAGAGAGCGACCACATTCATATAACTTTTATTATAGTATATTATTACAATTGTTCTGTTTTTGTTGTTAATCTTGCGCTGTGCCTAACTTATAAATTAAACTTTATCGTGTGTGTGTCTGTATAGGAGAAACCAGTGCTATTAGATATGTAGGTTTTGGTACTTTTTGCAGTTTCAGGCATCCGCAGGGGGTCTTGGGACATATCCCCCACAGATCAGGGGGATGACTGTATTTATTTCATTATTCTCTTGTACATTATTTCGCTTATTAATAAAGTTAGAATTTTCATATATTAGCAAGCAGTTTTCGTTTCCTCTTGTGTAAACTATCCATCACATCCTCTGCCCATCTATATTTGTAGGAAGAACACCTTCATTTAATTCCTCTTCAGAGTTTCTGGTCCTCCTTATAGTCCCTGTTTTTCTTTCATCTCACCTCTTATCTCATTAATTACGTGTAAGGAAAGCAGAGTATTTTCAGAAAGAATAGGGCAACTTTTTTTTATCTGTTTGTTTTTTGAGACAAAGTCTCGCTCTGTAACCCAAGCTGGAGAGCAGTGGCATGGTCTTGACTCACTGCAGCCTCTGCCTCCCAGGTTCAAGAAATTCTCCTGCCTCAGCCTCCCGACTACCTGGGATTACATGTGTGGGCCACCATGCTCAGCTAAGTTTTGTATTTTTAGTAGCGATGGGGTTTCACCATGTTGGCCATGATGGTCTTGAACTCCTGACCTCAAGTGATCCGTTCACCTCAGCCTCCCAAAGTGCTGGGATTACAGGCATGAGCCACTGCGCACGGCCAGAAACATTTTAAATTAATTCACCATGCACTCACTACATGCAAGACACCATGCTTTAGGTGCTACAAGACAACATTCCTGCCCATAAAAATTTTCTAGTCTGATAGAAGGCAAATGTCATGAGCTGCTGTTATAAAAAGCAGACTATGATCAGTGCTTCAGTAGACAAAGGGTAAGCACAGTTCAGGCCAAAGACTGGGTTGGAGGAAATTTTTTTTTAATTTTTTTTATTTTGTTTTCGTTTTGAGACAGAGTCTCGCTCTGTTGCCTAGGCTGGAGTGCACTGGCACCAATCTCGGCTCACCGCAACCTCCACCTCCTGGGTTCAGGTGATTCTCCTGCCTCAGCCTCCCAAGTAGCTGGGATTAGAGGTGCTCACCACTATACCCAGCTAATTTTTTGTATTTTTAGTACAGATGGGATTTCACCAAGTTGGCCAGGCTGGTCTCAAACTCCTGACCTTGTGATTTTCCCATGTTAGCCTCCCAAAGAGGAGATGGCTTTTGAAATGAGCTGTCAAGGGCAGTGGGGGCTATATTCTTGTCAAATAGGAGAAGTGCACAGTTGGGAACATTCCTAGTGTATTTGGGAGTGTTTGCAGAAGACACGTCTGTCTGCATCATGAATGACCTTAAGTGTCACAGTGGAAACTTCCAGAGTCTTCACACCCCATCTGCCAGCTTGTCTGATGTGTTGTTTCCGAATGTGAATGGGCTGGTAGGGGCCACTGCATGCTTCATCCTAGCCGACCCTGAAGCCTGGGGCCCTGTTCCACCAGGCTCTGATGTGGATGGGCAGGTGTCACAGGGTGCTGACATTGTCGTGGAGCTTCTGCCTGCGTTTTCCTTCAGACCCTCAATGTACCCCTTTGGCATTTCCCCTTAGGTCCGTTATGCCACCTGGAGCATCATAATGGACTCCGTGGTGCCCTCTGACAAGGGCAACTACACTTGCATCGTGGAGAATGAGTACGGCAGCATCAACCACACCTACCAGCTGGACGTCGTGGGTAAGAGGGCACAGGCGGCAGGAGGAACGAGTTTAGCAGGAAGAGCCGCTTGGAGAACACAGCCAGAGTGTCCAGGTTTCTTAGGGGACGAGTCAGGATAGTGGTTGGCAGTTCCCGGCTTTGTCACCTTGAGCAGGTCACTTCTCTCTTTTGAGCCTCACTTTTCTTATCTGTGAAATAGAGTTAAGATCAGACAGTAACACATGTCAAAGCTGGTTGTCACTGTGAAATGGAAGGTGCTGTTCAGGGTATGTCCTGAAAGAGGCGCTGTTGGAGCGATGTTAAATATAGCGTAACAGGAACTGTCGCTTAATGCCAGGCTCCCTAAATACTTGCCCTGTAATGCGTGTAGCACACCTGCAAGGTGGGTGGTATTAGTCTAGCTCTACACAGGAGCGCAGGCGCTGAGGCTCAGAGAGGTCAGACACCTTGCTAATGCAGAACTCCACGGCTGTGCCAACTCCAGGGCATCACAGGAGACTCTCGGAAGAACTTCAAGCCTCTTGGAGCTATAACTGCAGCCTTTTCCTCTAGGAATTCGAAATTCACTTTCTAGAGGTCATTGGGTACAGAGTCTCGCAGCCAGTGTTCTTGACTGTGACGATATGGTCTAAAAAGGAGATTGTGGCCAGGCGCGGTGGCTTATGAGCTCCAGGTGGTATGATGGGATTACTCACGTTTGTGATTACATCACTTTAGAAGGCCAAGGCAGGAGGAGTGCTTGAGGCCAGGAGTTTGAGACCAGCCCGGGCAACACAGTGAGACCCTTTCTCTGTAAAAAAATTTAAAACTAGCCTAGTGCAGTGGCATGTACTTGTAGTCCCAGCTGAGTAACTGAGGCTACTGAGGTGGGAGAATCATTGAGCCCAGGAGTTCAAAACTGCAGTGAACTAGGATGCCATCCCAGCACTGCAACGTAGGTGACAGAGTGAGACCCTGCCTCAAAAAAAAGAGATTCTGATCCAAGAGATCGGAGTAAGATCTGAGATTCTGCATTTCTAACAAGCTCCTAGGGGATGCCGGTAGCACTGCTTGTGGACCGTACTTTAAAACAGCAGGAGTCTAAATGACTGGTTTTACTTAAGGAGAAACAAGTTGCGCTGAGGCCTGGGGATGCAGCTGAGTTAGAATGTTCTCCATGAAATCATGAGCGACTTACTGTGACTGTAAATATGATGCAGCACCTTGAGGAGGAGGAGGCTCCTGATGGCTTAGGGCCTGAAGAGAAGGTGTCCATTTCCCTAGCTCTGGTTTGAGAGGCTTGAGCTCAGCAGAAGTGCTGGGAGGTTTACAACCCATCACCGGGAAGCCAAGGGGGATGCAGGTGAGCACACCACTCTTTAGCCATGGCAGGGTCCCCATGACAAGCACCTCCTCTCCCGTCTTCCACAGAGCGGTCCCCTCACCGGCCCATCCTGCAAGCAGGGTTGCCCGCCAACAAGACAGTGGCCCTGGGTAGCAACGTGGAGTTCATGTGTAAGGTGTACAGTGACCCACAACCACACATCCAGTGGCTAAAGCACATCGAGGTGAACGGGAGCAAGATTGGTCCAGACAACCTGCCTTATGTCCAGATCTTGAAGGTAATCATGGCCCCGGTCCTCATGGGCCAGTCTACTTGGGAAGGACACCAGTGCCTCCAGGGCTCAAGTTGCTGTGGGCAAGCTCAGTGCCCCTAAACGGGATCATCCCTTACCCTGCAGGCACACACACTCCATCTTGGTATGGATCTAGCCATATCCCCCAGGACTAGTGACAGAGGTTGCAAAGTGGAGGTTAGCTGGGAACAAGGGCTGCAGGGGTGGGTGATGCTGGTCTGTAATGAGCTTTGAGAGCAACATCGCTGGAGCCTTAGGGTCAGCCACGCAAGGAAGGCATTTGGACCCCTGCCTTTTCATTGCCTGAGACTAGAGCCTTTCCAGCAAGCGTTTCCCAGTTTTCGCTCTGCTTCCCGAGCGACGTACGATCTTTCTGGCAAATGGGGTGGATGATAAGAGCATCTCTTACGAAGAGTTGGAAAAACAAAAGCCACCTATAAATTATAAGCCATGCGAGGAGTAATGGCATTTTCTTCCTTTTTCCTCTTATTCCCAGACTTCATTGTCCCTGAATGCTCCATTAATCCAGGAAAGGTAATTGCTTAAATCTCCAGTGGATCTTGCAACAGGAAGGAACCAGAAGCTGGGAAAGTTGTTTACCTCCTTGTCCCAGAGTTAGACCTCATCCTCCCCTGGCTCGGCTGTCTCAGAGATATACTGGCCCTCCCTTCTTTTCGCCGCTGGTGCTAAAACTGCTCTGTAGGACCTTGGTCACTGTCTCCACTCACAACCCCTGCTCCAGTCCTGGAGGGAGTGGGTTAAATACAAACAGAACATTCCATTTGAAGCAGTGATTCCCCTCCCTCCTCAATCAAATGCTTTGGACTTTTGAAGTCCATTTGTTCTCTCCTTCTAAAAGGGAAAGAGGGCTGGGCGCTATGGCTCACGCTCGTAATCCCAGCACTTTGGGAGGCTGAGGCCAGCAGATCACGTGTCAGGAGTTCGAGACCAGCCTGGCCAACGCGGTGAAACCCCATCTGTACTAAAAATACAAAAATTCGCTGTGCGTGATGGTGGGCACCTGTAGTCCCAGCTACTCAGGAGGCTGAGGCAGGAGAACTGCTTGAACTCAGGAGGCGGACGTTGCAGTGAGCTGAGATCACGCTGCTGCACTCCAGCCTGGGTGACAGAGTGAGTGAGATTCTGTCTCAAAAAAAAGAAAGAAAGAAAAACTAAAAGAGAAGAAAATAAATCTCACTTAACATCTCCCTTCACTCCCTGGGCCTGCCTGAAAGTTACACAGGGGCAATGTGCGTGGCCACATCCCAGAGTTTGCCCAACTGACTGGTGTGTCGTTGGTTTGTTCCAGCATTCGGGGATTAATAGCTCGGATGCGGAGGTGCTGACCCTGTTCAATGTGACAGAGGCCCAGAGCGGGGAGTATGTGTGTAAGGTTTCCAATTATATTGGTGAAGCTAACCAGTCTGCGTGGCTCACTGTCACCAGACCTGTGGCAAAAGGTAATGGGGAGATGGATGGGATCCTGTGCTGGGGATGTGGCGTAGGTCTCAAGCTGCCGGGCAGGCGGGGAAGCCAGTGCTGGACTGTCCCTGTCACCCTACTGTATTTCTAGTGCCCAGAGCCATGGAAAAATACCCGGCCTGGGAGGCTGATTTGGTTTGGTATTGTGTTGGTGTCTGCGGGCTCCCTCTCTGCCTTCTGTGTGTTCCTTGGCTGTGTGTGGATCCATGTGAGGACTCATGGGAACACAGTCTTGCTGCGTTACAAATGGTACTTCAGACAGAAGGTGTGAGTGGTGGTTATGAGAAGGGGTCTTAGGCCAGGCACGGTGGTTCACTCCCGTAATCCCAGCTCTTTGGAAGACTGAGGTGGGAGGATCACTTGAAACCAGGAGGTTGAGACCAAGCTGGGCAACATAGCAAGACTCCATCTCTATAAATAAAATAAATTAGCCAAGCATGGTAGCGTAGTCCCAGCTAGTCTGAAGTCTGAGGCAGGAGGATTGCCTGAGCTCAGAAGGTCGGGGCTTCAGTGAGCTATGTTTGTACCACTGTACTCCAGCCTGGGTGACAGAGTGAGACCGCATCTCTAAAAACAAGAGAGAGAAGGGGCCAGGCATTCCCTTGCACTCACATCTGCAGGCTGTGTACGCACACGTGTGTGTGTGTGTGCGTGCGTGTGTGTGCGCGCACATGTGTGCATGTCTGCAGCCCCCGCCATCCCTCCTGTGTTCACCCTCTGGCTGTCTTTACCTAAAACCAAACAGTCCCCGCCTGCCGGCCCCATTTCTCCATGCTGCTCACCGCCCGCATGCTCGGATGGGCCAGTGGCTGCCAGCGTCTGGTGAAGGGTCGTAACCAGCCATCGTCTTCTCAGGTCTGCCGGAGGTCCTCCCGCAGGGTCTCACCTTCTTCTTCTAACAGGTTTTGCTGCCTGGTGGTTTTCGTTTGTTCCTTGTTACAGAGAAGACGCGGGGGAGCATTTCTTCCTCTGGTCCCCCCCCACTCTGACTCTCCCTCCCTTGCTCTGCGTCTCTTAGAGGATTCATGTCCTGTGCTTGTCCATTTTGCTTCCGTTGTCTCTTTTAGACTGCTGGAGTGAATACCACTGACAAAGAGATGGAGGTGCTTCACTTAAGAAATGTCTCCTTTGAGGACGCAGGGGAGTATACGTGCTTGGCGGGTAACTCTATCGGACTCTCCCATCACTCTGCATGGTTGACCGTTCTGGAAGGTACACACTGTAACTTCTCCTCTCGATGTCCTGCCCTCGCCATGGGCACGGGGGGAGCATGCATTTCCAGGCTTGGGGAGACACAGAGGCAGAAGAGCTGGAAGAACAGGCTCCCGCCTGCCTGGTGCCACGCCCTGCCCCAGCTTGAAGGGCTGAATCCTCTCGCCTGAGAGAAGAGCTTCCCTAGTTTTGCAGGCACAGGGGAGCCTCCCACTTGTCCGCCTGCCTCTGCTCTCCCGCGGCCAGTGCAATGCATGCCCGCGATCTGGGTTAACCCTGCAGCCGGACTCCTCCACAGCAGGCTCCTTCCATCCTTGGCTCCAGCAGCCTTCCCTCCTCTTCTGGGTACTGAGCATCTGAAAAGTCTCAGATAGGGCCCCATGCCTCTTCTCCCTGCACTCAGGCGCTCGGCCCAGGGGGGCTTGCTGCTTGCAAAGAGCAGCCCACCCTCTTCCTGTCCTACCATCCTATGCCTTTGGAGGAGGAGAAAGTCTGCCTGGTCACGTGAACTGAGCGGCCTTCAAAAAGGCCTGTCCGGGGCAGCCACAGCAGGCTTCCTGATGTCCATGTGTCCTCTTTGGCCGCTGCTGTCTCTCATCTTCCAAGAGGAGGTCTGCGTGTTGAGCTGGGGAGGAAGGAGCCTGCAGCCTGCTCAGGGTGGTGGCTGGTGACCCCAGGGCCAGGGCTCGCTGCTGTCTCTTGGAATGTCCTGCACGTGGGTCTGGGCACTGCTCTTGGTCCTGCTTGCACTGCCCTCTCCTCTCGCCTCCTTTCCCCCTCTGCCCTGCTTGCCCATCAGGGTCTCCGGATGCCCCTGCTGCAGGCAAGAAGTGCTCTGTTTTTCTCATCGTCCCTGTCCTTGTCCTGTCCGTTCTCCCCGTGTGCTCCCAATCAGTTGTCTTTGTTCCTCAACACCAGGGAAAGAAAAAAACAGCAGCACTTCTCCCTGTCATCAGCTCTGCTGTCTCCTTGTCGGGCCTTGGGACATTCTCGTGGGCTCAGTCTGGGGTTATGCCTCATGCCTCTCTGGGAGGGTTCTCAGGGGTGCCGCCTCCGAGGCTGGCTGATGAGTTTTAAAGGGGAAGTTTGGGAGGAGGCCTGTGGAAGGAGGAGGGCTGTCCACACCCGTGGGGCAAAGCATGTTCTGTGAAATCAGTGCTGCGTGAGCTGGGATGAGAGCCTCCCAGTCCCTCGTGCTGAACGGAAGGGTGGACTGAACTGGCTTAGCTGCTCTGGCAATGGGGTGGGGGGTGAATCCTAATCTGAAGGTGGGAGAAGAGAATAGTAAAATGCAGCCCCTGCCCCCCTGCCACCACATTTGTTTATGTTTTAGGAATCGAAGCCTGAAAGTAGAATTCATAAGCACTACCAAAAAAAGCTTATTTTTGGAAATTAAGTCAGCTTTGCCTGTGGTTTGACTAGGTGTAAATATTGACCTATGTGACTCGACAGAGATGACACAGACTGCAAGTGGGACGTTGAGCAGGGTGCAGGCTGGTTCCCCTCTTGTCCTCTGTCCTCATTCTGTGAGTGCCACCATCACCAGGTGCTGTGGCCTGCAAAAATAAACAAGGCACCAGCCCTGCCCTCAGGAACCCTGTGGCTTCTTAGGGACAGAGGACTCAAACATCTCTGTCCCTGTGTGTTAAGTGCATGCACACAGAGCTGAGGCTCTGCAAAGAAGGGCCATGGCTCCCTGAGGAGACCAAGAAAGGCACACAGAAGTGACTTCTCAGCTGGCCCTTGCAGGGTCCCTGGGTGCCTGTACCCATCCAGTCCACCTGAGCAAGGAGGCCCAGGAATAAACGAGGATGAGACTTGCATAGCATGATGGTTCCAGGCCACCCCTCTTCCAGGGCTCCAGTCCACTGAAGGCAGCCTCTGAGATCAGGGGCTTTTCTGATCCTCCTAGGGCCACAATCCTAGTCCTACCTAGAACGTGGCATGGTTCTTCTCCCTGACAGTTCCCAGGGGACAGGAGATAGGTGTTATTTTTCTAATGGAGTGGAGCCTTGCATGGACGGGCCCCTCCAAACCTGCTAACACCCTGTTCGCACTGACTCAGCCCTGGAAGAGAGGCCAGCCGTGATTACCTCGCCCTTGTACCTGGAGATCATCATCTATTGCACAGGGGCCTTCCTCATCTCCTGCATGGTGGGGTCGGTCATCGTCTACAAGATGAAGAGCGGCACCAAGAAGAGTGACTTCCACAGCCAGATGGCCGTGCACAAGCTGGCCAAGAGCATCCCTCTGCGCAGACAGGTAACAGAAAGTAGATGGGGGATTTGCACACTCAGCACCACCTCTCTGGGCCTCTAATCCGCTGGCCTCTCCACTGTCCCTAATCTACAGCTTTGGGCTTGGCTTTCTGGCTTCTGAGCCAGGCACAGCAGAATGTCTTGAACTAAGTGCTCCAGAGTCTGTTTTAAGCTAGTGTAGCCCGTGAATCTTCTGCACCCTCCCTATCCCATTGAAAGTCCCCCGGACCCCTGGCACATGGATTGGGAGGAAGTCCTATCTGGATGGAATGTGCAGCCAATAGCATGCATTTGAACTGTCCCCAAGGGCTGCTTAGAAGTGCAGAGATGCAGTTAGAGAAGAGGACCGTCTGTATTAGTCCATTTTCACGCTGCTGATAAAGACTGGGCAATTTACAAAAGAAACAGATTTAATGGCTTCACAGTTCCACGTGGGTGGGGAGGCCTCACAATCATGGCAGAAGGCAAAAGGCATGTCTTACATGGCAGCAGACAAGAAAAGAGAGCTTGTGCAGGGAAACTCCCCTTTAAAAACCATCAGATCTCATGAGATTTATTCACTGTCACAAGAATAGCACGAGAAAGATCTGCCCCCACGAGTCAGTGACCTCCCACCAGGTCCCTCCCACAACACGTGGGAATTCAAGATGAGATTTGGGTGGGGACACAGCAACCGTATCAGCCATACCATCCTATCCCCTTGTCCTCCTGTGTGCCCACCCTTCCCCATGGGAGGAAACTGTATAGGTACAGGCGTGTGCAAGAGTGACCATTCCCTCAGAAGCCTATGCTCATTCTGGAAGGTGCTTTGGGAGTTAGGAATCCATAAGCTAAGGCAAAGTATTAGCGAAGAGTTGTGAGAGTAGAGTTGTTACTCCAGTGACCAGTTAAAATATCAAGCTGGAAGAGGTGCATTTGGTCTGCTTATTTTAAAGGTGAATGAAATCCAGAAAGGCCAGCCAGTGGCAGACATATGTCAGTCCTAGAAATTGGGCCTCTGTGGTCTTCGGACCACTCTGTGTCGGTGAAAGAACATCAGATATACAGAAATGTGCCTCTGCCATTGTTGGGAAGCCCTGACTAGGAATGGGAAGGAGTCGCCCCTGTCCCCCCTCCTTGCTCTAGGGTGACCCCACTCTTCCTTGCAGGTGTCCGCTGACTCCAGTGCGTCCATGAACTCTGGGGTTCTTCTGGTTCGGCCTTCACGGCTCTCCTCCAGTGGGACTCCCATGCTAGCAGGGGTCTCTGAGTATGAGCTTCCCGAAGACCCTCGCTGGGAGCTGCCTCGGGACAGGTAGTAATCCTTTTAACTCCTAACTTTTTGAAGGCATCCTTTGCTTGCTATTCTAGTGGTGGAAGGTGTGTATACTAACACCTTCTGGGCAGTGAAGGTGTATGAAATGCCTGCAGAAACATTCACTTCTACTTTCTGCCCACAGTTGGGTGAAATACAGAAGTGGAGATGGGGTGCCTCTCAAAGTTTGAACTTCACCAGCCCCAACCTAATGCCGCTCTCTGTTTCCCCTGAAAGACTGGTCTTAGGAAAACCCCTGGGAGAGGGCTGCTTTGGGCAGGTGGTGTTGGCAGAGGCCATCGGACTGGACAAGGACAAACCCAACCGTGTGACCAAGGTGGCTGTGAAGATGTTGAAGTGTAAGTGATGCTTCTGTCCTTGCAGAGTCCATCTTGTCCCATTCCAAGCAAACAGCAGGCCTCGGGCCCAGCAGAGCAGCTTCTCTGGTTATTTGCTGCCCACACCTGCTCCCCTGCCTGCTTGGGATTACCTGGGAGTGGAGTGGGAGTTCTGCACCCTGAGATTGGGCTGTGGTTAGATGTCTATCCTGGATCTATCACTTGCTGCCTTTTCTCCCCGCATCCCTCCCCACTCACTACCACCTCTTGCAACAACAGCTCCCAGGAGAGGGAAGGTGGAAGTGGGGAGGAGAGAATCAAGCCCCAGAGAAAAGCGGCCCCTCGGCACATACCCCGCTCCCTTAGCCTTTCTCCTGCCCTCCTCCCTTGCAAAAGTAAATGAGTCTCAACGTGTTCTTTAAAGCGGATGCAACAGAGAAAGACTTGTCAGACCTGATCTCAGAAATGGAGATGATGAAGATGATTGGGAAGCATAAGAACATCATCAACCTGCTGGGGGCCTGCACGCAGGACGGTGGGTCCCGGCCAGGCTGGCCTTCCCTCCCCAGCAGGCAGAAGGTCTGAGCTGTTAGGGAAGGGGGTTAAGAGAGGCTGCTTTCGCAGAGGTTGAAACGTGTTTCTCGGGGTCTGGGCTCAGCCCATATGTGTTCATCCAAGAATACAGATACCTAGATTCACACACGTGGCGTGTTAACAGAGACAGCTGAGTAATTCTGGTCTAAATTAGGGCGCTCAGGCTGGGTACAGTGGCCATGCCTGTAATCACAGCACTTTGGGAGGCCGAGGTGGGAGGATCACTTGAGATCAGGTGAGCCCAGCATGGCTAACGAGATGAAACCCTCTCTCTGCTAAAAATACAAGTTAGCCAGGCGGCGTGGTGCATGCCTGTAATCCCAGCTACTTGGGAGGCTGAGGCAGGAGAATCACTTGAATCTGTAAGGTGGAGGTTGCAGTGAGCCGAAAATTATACCACGGCACTCCAGCCTGGGGGACAGAGCGAGACTCCATCTCAAAAATAAATAAGCTGGGGCTCTTATCCCAACGTTGCTTGGGAAATTTCTGGACTATGCCAGGAATAAGTATTTCTCTAATTTTCTTTGGGTGGTAGAATGGATTTCCCAGGTCCCCTAAAAGGAGGCAGGAGAGGGGAGGTTGCCTGGGGTGTGCTGCTGGGGGTGGGGTTTCCACGAGGTGATGCCAAACCTGCTCACCTGCTGCCGGCTGCGTGGCCTCTTCCTCCTGTGCCCGCAGGTCCTTTGTATGTCATCGTGGAGTATGCCTCCAAGGGCAACCTGCGGGAGTACCTGCAGGCCCGGAGGCCCCCAGGGCTGGAATACTGCTACAACCCCAGCCACAACCCAGAGGAGCAGCTCTCCTCCAAGGACCTGGTGTCCTGCGCCTATCAGGTGGCCCGAGGCATGGAGTATCTGGCCTCCAAGAAGGTGTGGAACCTGAAGGCTCCCCTGGGTAATGTCGGGGTGGGAACAGAGCTCCCCCCCCCCCACTGTCCTCCAGCCTGTGACTTGTCATCTTGTGGTGGCATTGTGGATGCATTGAGCACGGGTCCTGTGCATTGTCTTAGGCTTTCTGGTAACCTCGGAGTCAGGAGAACCAGTGTAGCCAGGTGGCCTTGGGGTCAGACTGATGTAGGGTCAGATCTGTACACTGCCATTTTCTGTGTCACTTCTTACAATTCTTCAAATACAAAATAAGAATAATATCAGCTGGGTGCAGTGGCCAAGGCAGGAGGATTGCTTGAGCTCAGGAGTCTGAGACAAGGTTGGGCAACAACAGTGAGACCCCCGTCTTTAAAAAATATATATTTAAAAGTTAGCTGGGTGTGGTACTGCGTGCCAGTCGTCCCAGCTACTCGGGAGGCTGAGGTGGGAGGCTAGCTTGATCCCAGGAGTTGGAGGCTGCAGGAGCCATGATCACACCACTGTGCAACAGAGCAAGACCGTGTCTCGAAAAAAATAAAGTATAATAATAACTATGTTGTAGAATTTCTACGAGGTTAAAATGAAACGGTGAGCGTTGAGTGCAGTGTTTGGTGTGTAAGCGCTAGCTTGATTTGAGCCCAGCTCAGTGTGGATTTGCTTTGCTGGGAGGCAGGACCTAGGAACACACGCCGTGTCAGACAAAGGAGAGGTATAAAGGGCCAGCCTTCGGGGGAGGGAAGGGAGGAGCACTTGCTGTGATGATTGAGAAGCCTGGAACTGCCAGAGAACCTTCTAGAAGGGAAAGCAAAGGTTCAGGGGCAGAATAGTATGGAGGAGAAGTCTTGTAAGGCAAGTCGGCCAGTTGCACAGGTGGCGGCCCCCAGAGCCTTCCAGCTCCCTCCCCTCCCTCCCCCTGCTCTCCCTTCCTCCTTCCTCAGTGCATACACCGAGACCTGGCCGCCCGGAACGTCCTGGTGACAGAGGACAACGTCATGAAGATTGCGGACTTCGGCCTCGCACGGGACATTCACCACATCGACTACTATAAAAAGACAACCAACGTGAGTGCTAACAGGGCCACCCCATGCTGGTGGTTTCATCTAAGAAGCAAGGGGTGGGTGGGATGGCTTGAGAACCCATCCCCCAGTCTTTTCCCACCTGTGTCCTCACGGCCCTGCCCGGGGCCACCACAACCTCCCCTGTGCTGCTTGCAGGGCCGACTGCCTGTGAAGTGGATGGCGCCCGAGGCATTGTTTGACCGGATCTACACCCACCAGAGTGATGTGTGAGTTTGCAATAAGCAGTTGCCAGGGAGGCGTGGGTTAAAGAAAGGATAAAGAACTTCCAGCAGCGCAGAGTCCTGCATTCCCCCTGGATGGAGGAGTCCTTCCGCCCCAAGAGAAAAGCAAAATACTGTAGCCATTGCCTCTGCTCCAGATGTTGAAAGGCTGATCTGTTCGCCACACTGTCTCCTGGCACTGCCCTGGGTGGAGGATTTGTGCTGGGGGAGGGGAGGCGGAGAAGCTCTAACACCCATGGCTCTGCACCTGTCTGCAGGTGGTCTTTTGGGGTGCTCCTGTGGGAGATCTTCACTCTGGGTGGCTCCCCATACCCTGGTGTGCCTGTGGAGGAGCTTTTCAAGCTGCTGAAGGAGGGTCACCGCATGGACAAGCCCAGTAACTGTACCAACGAGCTGTAAGTCTGAGGAGATGGCGGAGGCCCCAAGCCAGGCCCTGGGGCAAGAGTGGGCTTGAGGGGCAGGGGGCTGTACTAGAGGGTGTCCATCTCCAGGAGGCGGCCCTTCCTCCCTGACCTTACAGTCCTGCCCCAGGTACATGATGATGCGGGACTGCTGGCATGCAGTGCCCTCGCAGAGACCCACCTTCAAGCAGTTGGTGGAAGACCTGGACCGCATCGTGGCCTTGACCTCCAACCAGGTAAGGCTGCCTGTGCCGGAGCTCAGGCCGTCCCCACGGCATGCATGCATCTCTCTGAGCAGGGAGGAGGGGCCCAGCCCATTGCTGCTTCCTCTCGCCCCTCACAGGAGTACCTGGACCTGTCCATGCCCCTGGACCAGTACTCCCCCAGCTTTCCCGACACCCGGAGCTCTACGTGCTCCTCAGGGGAGGATTCCGTCTTCTCTCATGAGCCGCTGCCTGAGGAGCCCTGCCTGCCCCGACACCCAGCCCAGCTTGCCAATGGCGGACTCAAACGCCGCTGACTGCCACCCTGCACACCCTCCTCAGACTCCAGCATCAGCTGTAATCCTTACCCACAGCCCCTGCCAGGCCCACCGCCCGTCTGTCTCTGTCCCCTTTCCTGCTGGCAGGAGCTGGCTGCCTACCAGGGGCCTTCCTGTGTGGCCTGCCTTCACCCCGCTCAGCTCATCTCTTCCTCCTCCTCCTCTCCACCTGGCAGTGAGAGGTGCAAAGAGGCAGATCCTTGCTGCCGGCCACTTCGTCCCCTCCCAGATGTTGGACCAAGACCCCTCCCTGCCACCAGGTCCTGCCTGGAAGGCGGGGAGTGGGAGCCGATGAACAGGCATGCAAGTGAGAGCCTCCTGGGCTTTCTTATTTGGGTTTGGTGTGTTTCGCCTTCACCCAGAAGCCCCTAGCACTCTGGCGGCAGGTGCCTTGTCCTCAGGGCTACAGTAGTAGGGAGATAAGTGCTTTGGGCCTTGATCGAAGGTGACCTCTGCTCCAGATAGGTGGTGCCAGCGGCTTATTAATTCAGATAGTTGCTTTGCTGACCAAATGCCTGGTACCAGAGGATGGTGAGGCGAAGGCCAGGTTGGGGGCAGTGTTGTGGCCCTGGGGCTCAGCCCCAAACTGGGGGCTCTGTACATAGCTATGAAGAAAACACAAAGTGTATAAATCTGAGTATATATTTACATGTCTTTTTAAAAGGGTCATTACCAGAGATTTACCCATCGGGTAAGATGCTCCTGGTGGCTGGGAGGCATCAGTTGCTATATATTAAAATCAAAGAAAAAAGAAAAAAAAAGAAAATGTTTTTAAAAAGGTCATATATTTTTTGCTACTTTTGCTGTTTTATTTTTTTAAATTATGTTCTAAACCTATTTTCAGTTTAGGTCCCTCAATAAAAATTGCTGCTGCTTCATTTTTCTATGGACTGTGTGAAAAGGGCAAGAATGTCCACTGGAAGAGGGACACTCATGGGCTCCGGGGCTGGCTCTGTCACAAGGGCACCGCACACTCCCTGCACAGGTTCCTTGTAACCTCTTCCTCCTAGGTCCCACGCCCAGACCTCACGACACACCTCCTGCCTCTCCGATACTTTTGGAAAGTCAGGAAAAGAAGATGTCTGCATCAAGGGCAGGAACCCCCGTCCATGCACTAGAGGTGCTGGGTGGAGGGTCAAGGCCCAGCAGCCATCGACCACAGACGGTTTCCTCTGAGGAAACCTGTGGGGCTGAGCTGGGGAAGGGGGACATCTACCTAGGAATAGCCACACCAGGGTAGAGCTAAAGTGATTAAGAGGAAGCTTCACACCTGTAATCCCAGCACTTTGGGAGGCCGAGGTGGGCAGATAACTTGAGATCAGGAGTTCAAGACCAGCCTGGCCAATATGGTGAAACCCCGTCTTTACTAAAAATACAAAAATTAGCCTGGCATGGTGGTAGGCATCTGTAATTCCAGTTACTTAGGAGGCTGAAGCAGGAGAATCCCTTGAACCTGGGAGGCGGAGGTTGCAATGAGTCGAGATCACGCCATTGCACTCCAGCCTGGGCAACAGAGCGAGACTCCATCTCAAAAAAAAAAAACAGAAAGGAAAGCGAATGATGGAGGTCTGCAGAATCACAAACCCAGACGTGTCTGCCCCCTCTGTGTGGGCGTGGTTTTGCTGGTGCTTCCAAGTGCAGGAGAGCGTGTCACCTGAGGCTAGTTTCGCATTCAAGTCCCTGGCTTCTTTTTGTTGTTGTTATTCCTCCCCAGATCGTCTTTCCTGAATCCATGTGACCAGACTGTATTTGTTGGGACTGTCACAGATCTTGGCTGCTTACGGTTCTTCCTGTCCAAACTCCACCCTGCCGCTCAGGAAGGGGGAGAAAATTCTCCGAATGTTTTTGGTTTTTGGCTGCTTGGAATTTACTTCTGCCACCTGCTGGTCATCACTGTCCTCACCAAGTGGATTCTGGCTCCCCAGTACCTCATGGCTCAAACTACCACTCAACCGCTATATTAAAGCTTACATTTGCTGGATTACTGCTAAATACAAAAGAAAGTTCAATATGCTTTCACTTCTGTAGGGAAAATGGGATTGCTGCTTTAAATTTCCACGTTAGGTATTTCTTGGCAGCTGCAGTGTTGGTCACTATTGTAAAGTTCTCTTGGTTTCTCTCTGTAAATATGCACCTGCTTACATTACAATTTGTATTTATGTTTAAAGAAGGCATCATTTGGTGAACAGAGCCAGAAAATGAATTTTTAGCTCCTTAAAATCATTTGCTTTGAGGCTGCACAGGAGTGTCTTTCCTTGTAAAATACTGATGATAATTTCTGCCTTGGCCCTACCTTGAAGCAATGTTGTGTGAAGGGATGAAGAATCTAAAAGGCTTCATAAGCCTTGGGAGAGGTGCTAGAAAAATATAAGGCACTATCATTATTACAGTGATGTCCTTGCTGTTGCTACTCAAATCACCCATTAATTTCCCCAAAGACTGTACTAGCTGTCAAATAAAAGAGAATGAAATTGACCTGAGAGAAAATGAAACGGCCATTTTACTTAGAGGACCAGACTGGGTCTCCTGAGGAAAGGAATCCAGTTTATCCAATGAAGATGTTGCGCTATCTAGGCGCTGAGGGTTAAAAGATTAGGGCTGGGATCACCACAGCATTAATCAATATTGCCTTTCCGTCTTTCCAAATTGTCATAGGCTGGGTATCATTGGTCCCTTGGCCTTGCTAATGTAATGTATTGATCTCAGGTAAGTAAGATTGAGCATCAAATGAGGCAAGAAATCTGTCTCAATGATAATGAGGTTGCTCTGCTTATTAGCCACCTCTGGATGGAGTCAGTGAACTAAAGTCTCAGTTGGCATTAGGTGACACACCAGTCTGCTCTCAAGTCACACTGGTCTGACTACTACATGTTAGTGTGTGCTGGTGGTGAGTGGGAAATCTTTAGCCTAGATTTGGCATTACAGAGCAATTGATTGGACAGCACATACGTGGTTTGTTTTGAAATTAGACATGACATAGGTGCAAGGCCATAAGTGTCAGGCCACCACCTCTGTTGTAGCAGAATTCTGTGTGAGACACAGGCCACGTCTAGCACCACTGCGGTTGGGTTTTAGAGAATGGCCTAAAGTGGCCGGGTGCAGTGACTTACACCTGTAATCCCAGCACTTTCGGAGGCCGAGGTGGGCAGATCACCTGAGGTTGGGAGTTCAAGACTAGCTTGGCCAACATGACAAAACCTTGTCTCTACAAAAATACAAAAATTAGCTGGGCGTGGTGGTGCATGCCTGTAATCCGAGCTACTCCGGAGACTGAGGCAAAAGAATCGCTTGAACCCAGGAAGCAGAGGTTGCAACAAGCCAAGATCACGAGCCTGGGTGACGGTGTGAGACTCTGTCTTTAAAAAAAAATTGTCTGGGCCGGGCGCGGTGGCTCAAGCCTGTAATCCCAGCACTTTGGGAGGCCGAGGCGGGTGGATCACGAGGTCGAGAGATCGAGACCATCCTGGTCAACATGGTGAAACCCCGTCTCTACTAAAAATACAAAAAATTAGCTGGGCATGGTGGCGCGTGCCTGTAATCCCAGCTACTCAGGAGGCTGAGGCAGGAGAATTGCCTGAACCCAGGAGGCGGAGGTTGCTGTGAGCCGAGATCGCGCCATTGCACTCCAGCCTGGGTAACAAGAGCGAAACTCCGTCTCAAAAAAAAAAAAAAAATTGTCTGAAGTCATACCCAGTGAGATCATTAGCAGCAGGTAAAGCCAAGGTATCTGCATCTATAGAGAAGGGAGCAGAGAGGAAAACTCTGAGGCGGCTGGCACAGCCTTCCATTCCCTCCGCTGAGGAGAGCCAGGGAAGAGGGCAGTTGGCAAGAACCCAACTACTAAGACTTAATCTGGGCAGGTTCCCTCTAGGTGGATGCTCAAAAGTGTTCGGGACTATTTCCACTATACTGCCCTACGTGCTGGTCTTTGCACACAGAAGAGATCTATTTCATAAATAATGCTAAAAGAGGTATAATTGTCTCTACCCTGGGAGGCATGCAGCTCTCTAGGAACACTGCATGTCTCCTCCCAGCTCTGCACTGTCCAGTGGTACCATGGCAGTGGCTTGAAATTGACATGGTGGGAGTATTTATATCACTGGAATAGGCAGATGCTATTTATCAGGGCTTTCCCCCCATCAAAGAGTTGGTGGTTAATGATTTACCAGAACACCACTGACTGGGGCTAGATGTAAGGATCACTGAGCCCAACAGCCAAGCCCTCTAAGTGATGAGAGCAATGAAACATCCCTGACTGCTGCTAGCAGAAGAGTGGGAGGAGAGGCATATAAGGTGGCCGGTGTTTCTTGACCGGGTGACTGCTCATTCCCACCCTGTTTGGAGGGCAAGCCAGAAGGAACTACAGGACAGCCCAACAGTATCTATGACTCACTCAGCTAAAACAGGGTTGAGCAAGTTTTAACTAGCTAATCCCTTTCCCACATTTAACACCTGCAATGTGACTAATTAAAACCCATCATTTTTAAAATGGGAAAATATATTGTGAATCACCTCACTAGGCAGGATCCATGACTGTTGTATTTGCATGGTAGGAATTCATTCCCTGAGAACTGGGCTTCATTAGTGGGACATGGGGCTTCTCTGATGGAGCAGGAGTTCAGAAAGCATCGCAGAGTGCATATTCTTGAAGTGCTGGTGACATTCACATTTAGGCGATCCCAGACAGGACAGCTGAATTCCGTTTTAACTGACTACCATCTAACCACAGCAAGTAAATCTAATTTTATCACCTACAGGCTGAAATACCTTTAGCCTTCTAACCACTCCCCAAGGGAAGAAAACTCTTTGGTCAGCTGCCTGGCAGTCTGTCTGTTGCGTAGTATTAGCAATACTGAAAACACCAAACATAAGTATCCTAACGTCATACTTGTTGCTGGGTAGTACAAGGATTATAGCAGACCTTCACAACCCCTATGACTAATAGTCTTGTTTGTGAAAGACAAACTGACCAGAAACACACCCCCAACACAAACATGGTTAAGGCTTAAACCCTTAATTATGCTTCCTGGCAAAATGGTGGCTAATGAAAGCCACATGTGCTAGGAGAGTGGCTGCCTCTCAGATTCCTGTAGCCTCTGCAGGCCCAAGAGGAGGATGTCAGAACAACGAAGCAGCTTTTCTGCTTGCCAATGTTTAACTCCCCATTTTCTCCAAGAAGCTTCTCTTCATTATATCCAGAAAGATCTTACTGAGGAGTATATCCATCCCGTCTCATGAGGTACTTTGTTTCCAGGGTGCTGATCCTACTCATGGGTTATTCAGAAAGTTAATCAGGTGCTCTTAAAATGGTTTTTGGAGCTTCCAAGTTCTTACTTAGAATTCCAAGCCATAGGAGACAGATATCTAACGTGCCAAGCTGATTCCATTATGCAAAAAAAAAAAATTCCTCTCTAAAAGGATGTACACAAGAAGCTGTTAAAAAACAATCTGGTGGGGGGCGGGCTTTACACAAAGGTGAGTGGGGTGGCAATGGTACAGAGGAATGGACTTTGCAATTATATTTTTCTAAATGATCTGAACTTGGTCTCACTACTCACATCACCTGGAATGGTTACAAGGCCTCAAAGGACTGCCCCAAGGGCTAAACGGCTGATCCTCGCTCTGAAGCCAGACAGAGTCTTAGCTGGGAGGTCCTTTAAAGATTCCACTGTTGAGGGCCAGAAGCTGGAGAGAGTGAGCTCCATTCTCAAGCAGTCCTTATGATCCTTTGAACTAGCCTTGCTGTTCTGTCTTTTGTGATTTGGCCTGGAGTGTCTAGGTGTAAAAAACATAAGGACTGTATGCATTAGTCACAATTAGACTTGTAAATTCTTTAGGAGTGAATCCCTTTTTTGTTTTCTTAATCAAAATAGTGACAGACCACAAAGTCAAATCTGAGATTATAATTTAAGTTGATAAAAGATAAAGAGGATATACAAAAAACAAGGTCCATGTGTGCCTTGGATGCTTTTCTGGGCTTATCCATCTGTGTCTTCACAGATTCTCTGTTCTACCAGGAGCGTCTTTGGTCTACAAGAGCCACTTCCCAATTCAGCTCTCCACAGTCTCCCTCCCCACTGTTTACTCTGTGCTCCGTGTCATGCCCTGTGCTCTTGCCCCAAATCTGTTCACCCAAATGGGAAAACTGGATGATAGATAAGTAATTTCTTATTTACATGCATTTCTCCTGAAATTCAAGTTGCCTTCCTGCTAGTATTTCCTGACATCAGAAGCCTGTGTAAAATACACAACACGTAGAAACTATTTCCATCTGGCACATAAAAAAAAGGGTCTGCCTATTGTAATTGGCTTCTACGCTTGGCATGTTTTTGTCTGACCCACAATTGTATTGGTGGATTTTTTTTTCTGCTTTTGGATAGCTGAAGTAAAAAACATAGTGGTTATAAGATGACTAAAGTTCAGCCTACAATTTCCTGTTTGGACAACAGGAAGAATTGTGCCATGTTTTGCAATAGGACTAATTCTAGATTCTCACTACCCTTAAAGATAACTAGAGGGAAAGAGTTTTCTCTTTCTTTTTCTTTTATTAAAGATACTTACAGCTTCTTTAGAAGTAGTGATGGATCCTTTAGGTAATGAAAGAGGTGTTGATGGTGTTATGGGTGATGTAACTGGTGGCGACTGTATAAAGTCTTCATCCTTAAACATCAGAACTCAGAGTTGGGTTACTGATTTAAAACAAAATGTGTATTAATCTACAGTCCACTGCCTTGACTACCAGGAACTTGTCATAACGACTTCATATCCTGGCACAGGATTCAAAAGGCAAAATCTGAAACCTAATTACAGAATATTAAGCTTCCTTAGAAACAGATCAAACAGTACAATAAATGTTCCTTATTAAAGAACATTGCATTAAATTTCAATTTCATTAAGGGGATTAAAACAGGAGAAACTGACCTATTGCTATTTTCATTTTTTAGTCTCATTAACCAAATGGAAAGTAACCATCTAACCTTAGTTCCCTTCAGTTGAGGTGCAAGATCCACCATGTTCTCTTTAGATTCAGTGAAAGTAGGTGATTCCACAAGAATATCTGTCTTTGGAGCCTGGGGAGAGAAACATTTTATATATCATAAAATTTTGGCTCTTCCTAAAACTCAGAAACTCTTTTACAGTAGTCAGTACCCTTTTTAGCACAATTTGCTTTCCACTAAATCCCTAACTTCCTCCTCCAGCTCTACCCTTTATGAGTAACATAGGAAATATGCCCCTGACATAGCAACTTAGTATTATTTCTCTGAGTCTTGAGTACTTTATATGCAAAAGTTGCACTCTCATTTCATTCTAGCATTTAAAATACTCATTCATTAGCAATCCACTGATCCAATACTGATCCTGCTGTTGGCCTCAAAAATAAAAAGCCATTTCTCAATTGTCATTTTATTTTTTGTTGTTGGTTTTTTTTAGAGACAGAGCCTCACTCTGTCACCCAGGCTGGAGTGCAGTGGCATGCTCGGCTCACTGCAACCTCCATCTCCTGGGTTCAAGCAATTATCCCTGCCTCAGCCTCCTGAGTAGCTGGGATTACAAGTGCCTACCACCAAGACTAGCTACTAATTTTTGTATTTTTAGTAGAGACGGGATTTTACTGTGTTGGCCAGGCTGGTCTTGAACTCCTGACCTCACGTGATCCGCCTGCCTCAGCCTCCCAAAGTGCTGGGATTATAGGTGTGAGCCACCACACCTGGCCTCAATTATCGTTTTCTAATAGCATTGATATAACTTGGTCTAAATTGCATCTTTATCATTTTTAGTATCAATAATAAATGATAAAATTGCCTGCCTTACTAAAATGGCAAGCTCCTGTAACACAAGGAAGATGGGGAGAGGGGTGGTATTAAAATATATAATGATCAGAATGGGGGTGGTGATAGAATAGGTAGCTATATTACAGTGTATTTGATTTGATGTCTCTCTATTCTTCACAGAACCTAGCATGCTACTTGTTCTCATTTTGTATATCTACATGTAGAATAGAAGTTTAAAAATTTGAGTGGGGAAAAAGCCAATAAAATGCTTAGGCGCTAATCATTTTGTCCTAAATTCCTCTATCACCCATACCAGAAAGCAACATCTGGATAAAGAATTTATGGCCCTCTAGAATAATTCTGAGAACCCAAATTTAGCTGAGACAATGAGCTCCTCCAAGATTTTCTTGCCTCTAGAATAATCTAAGAATGACAATTAATTTTGGTCTGTCTTGAATGAATGGATCCAAGAGTTGGATAGAATAAGAACCCACTACCCTGCCTTTTAGAACATGGTCTGTACTGAAAAACTGCTCCCAGTCTCCCTAGAATTTTTCCTGGACAAATCCCAAAATCAGATATGAAAATGGAAAGCAAGATGGTGTTTCCTGAAGTCAAGTTTTCATACTGGACTTCAAATAATTTTCCTTGGCTTGTCCAAGGCTTGTCTCAATTACATCTAATTAAGACGTAAAATGACTGGTCCTCACTTAGTTCTTGGACTGATCCCCTAAACCACAGTGTAGTATCTTCTACAAGAGTCTTTCCTTTCTTACTCATGCAGGGTTCTGAGTCAGACAGGAAGCCACCAGCTAGAGAAGCAGGAGACCCTTTCTGATGGGCCCAGAGCAAGATGCTGTAGTAACTGGGCCAATCCTGTGCTCTTCTGTACAACACCATGAAGGAAAATGATTAAGGAAGTGAATTGAAGACATTCTAGATTAGCCAATCAATGCTTAAAAATTAATAGGAATCTGGACAAATGAAATAGAACAGGAACCGTTCAGTCTAAAAGGAGAAAGCAGCAGAAACACACAGACACACACAACTGGTCACACCAATCTGCTAATGAAGATGAGATAGATGAAGGAAAAGGAATAAACTACTACTGGCCGGGTGTGCTGGCTCACACCTGTAATCCCAGCACTTTGGGAGGCTGACGCAAGCAGATCACCTGAGGTTGGGAGTTTGAGACCAGCCTGACCACATGGAGAAACCCCGTCTTTACTAAAAATATAAAAATTATCCTGCTTCAGCCTCCCAAGTAGCTGGGATTACAGGCATGCATCACCACACCCAGCTAATTTTTGTATTTTTAGTAGAGGTTGGGTTTCACCATGCTGGTCAGGCTGGTCTCAAACTCCTGACCTCAGGTGATCCACCCACCTCGGCCTCCCAAAGTGCTGGGATTACAGGTGCAAGCCACCACACCTAGCCTTTGTTTTTGTTTTCTGTGTATTTTGGGGAATTTTTAAAACATATAAACATATAAAGCTAGTTGGGCCAAATTCTAAAAGGCCAAAAGAAGTGCCTGCTCTGACTGCAAGAGTACACCAAGCATTTATGGAGAGGCCTCAGTTGAATGGATGTCGAGGGTCCACATTAAGACAGGTACCCACCTCTCCACTGAGTGGTATCTCAATTGGCTTGGGCTTCACATCTATCAGGTAGAAGGTACGAGACAGGAGCAAAAGGGAAGGAGGGACATTCTCCTTCAGGTGGAGGTCCTGCCACTGGAGAACAGGAGGGGAACAACATTATGAGAATCACAGAACGCCAGAGCCGGAGGAACCCACGGTCATCTAGCGCCTTCCTCGGTGATAGCTTCCCATCACCTCCACTCCCCCAACCCTGATTTCCAAGCCACACCACGGCTGCTATCCTAACACCATCTGCACATTCTTCATGGAATTTTTAACAATGATAGGAATGAAATGTAACAGGAGTTACTCCTTTGTTTTAAAGCATTGATGTTCTTACTTAAAGTATAAATATGCTATCTGAGGAAAAATATTAAACATGGGTTACCATAGCATGTGTTGGTTTGGGGCACTAATTGAAAAACAGCCCCAGGTGGGCCACCAGGCAAAGTGGGGACCCCCAAACAGATTCACACAGATGACAGGCCTTGACCTGAAATTTTTGCAAGGACCCTTTACACTACGTGGAGTAGGTAAAATTCTAAGGTGGCCCCAAGACACCTTGTCCCTGGGGTACCCACACCCTCTAGTTACTCAACATTATTCTGGGCACTGTATGAAAGGATTTTACGGATGTAATTGAGGTCCCAAGTCAGTTGACCTTAAGATAGGGAGATTATTTGGATGGGCCTCACCTAATCACGAGACCATAAATTTGGGGCTAGAGGTCAAACATGGGGGAAACTGGAGATTTCAAGCACGAGGAGGCTCTGGCATGTGAGACATCCTCTGATGCCGGCTTTGCAGACGGAGGGGGCCAAGAAGCAAGGAATACAGGTGGCCACTAGGAGCTGAGAGTAGCCTGGGGCTCACAGCCAGCTGTGAAACAAAGACCTCAGTCCAACAGCTGCAAGGAACTAAGTTCAGCCAACGAACTGAATGAACTTGGAAGCAGGTCGTTTCCCACAGCCTCCAAAGGAATACAGCCTACACTTCTGACCTACCAACTGTGAGCTAATACACTGATTTTAAGCCACTAAGTTCATGGTTCTTAGGCAGCAATAGAAAACTGATAGAGTACCTGATCTCAATCAAAGGGAAAAATCAACCTGGTTCTTCAGCATCCCACTGCTCAATGAAATAAGGCAAATTAGGTAAGATGGTTCACTGGCAAAGGAGAAATCACATGAGGAGGTTTGCATATTGTAGTGGGGGAGCGTTCTGGGGAAGAGGGCCCTGGAGGGGTGCTGCTACTTGCCTCTGTGAGCTGTTGTCGCAATTGTTCCTCTGTGAGACCCAGTGATCTCATCCCTCGGGCCCTACAGGCAGCCTGTAGTTCTGATACACTCAATGCCTTCACCCCTTCCTTGGCAATTATCTGAAAGAAATGTAAGGGATGGAGTTGGAGCTTTTAATTCCAGTTTTACATAATCCCTAAATTCCAGCAAATCAGTGGAAACAGAATCAGAGGCTTGGACAGCTCGTCCCCTGCACTGGCTGCTGCTGCAAAGGCGAAGTAGGGAGGTAGCAGTTGAAATAATGGGAATCCTGCCAACAGGTATTAGCAATATCAGATATATTTACACAACTCCTCCCCAACATTCTGTCATCAGAGTAATTATTTCCCCTCTTGATCTGCATTCTGTCTGGTTGTGACATATCTACTTTTCTCTTCCACGGCAGTTTTATGGTTCATTAGAAAAGAGTAGTTCACTTGAAAAGCTTACAATGTACCATTTGTTGCATGTCCCTGTAGTGTTCTCCCCTGCTGTCCTCCCACCAGCCCCAGAAATGGCCCTAACACATTGGTTCATAAAACCCCCTCAGTATATATTACAGTTTATGTCAGGTCTCCATATGCAAGCCTGGAGCCCGAAAGTCTGAAGTCCTGCCTGCCCCGGCTGATGCCTCCCACCCCTGCCTGCGTTCGCCATTGTCCCTGATGGCTTTCCTGGACAAGCCCCTCACCCAATCCTGCCATCTTAACTGTTCTTATGAGAATGTAAATACCTCTCACCCAACCCTGCCATTGTAACGGAACTTGTGGTCATGTATACTCCCTTGCCCCTACCCCCCCACCAGTATAACTGATCTTACTCTGCAACACCCCCACTCCCCAAAAAACTACCCAAACCTATAAAACCAACTCCTCTCCCACTACCCTTTGCTAATGCCCTTCCCAGCCTTAGACTACCTGCACCCAGGTGAATAAACAGCCGTGTTGCTCACACAAAGCCTGTTTGGAAGGTCTCTTCATTCAAAGTGCACATTTTTTCAACAGTTTCTGCTTGGCGTAACCCAAAATGATGGTATTTCTGGGGCCAGTATTTATTCCAAAGTTCTAAGAGCAACAACTGAAATCTAAATGGGGCCAAAGGGATCATGCATTCTCAGTTCTGGGAAACCTGCTCTCCCAGGCGAAATGCTTTTAAATCAGCTGATTCTGAGTCAACAAACATTCCGTCCATTTTTTTTTTTTAAAAAAGCCTAATTAGTAGTTATAGTCCAAGGATGCCTTTCTTCTACAAGGTGTTGAGGCTCTGCTTTCCTCCTAGCATTATGCCTTGCATACCAGGCCAACTACCCCTTCTTGGCAGGCCAATGCGCCCCGCAGAATATTGACTTTGGCACCAGCTTCCCGGTATGAAAGCAGAAGTGTGGGAGCAGAGATTTGTCAGGAATCTACTGAGCTGTTATTTCCTTCCCAGCAGATCCTAACTGCTTTAGATGAGTCCCAGCTAAGATAATCCAAATTGCTAACTGCTTATGATGGCCTTCTCAAGAAAATGAGGAAGAGGATGACAACTCCTCAAATGAGTAATCAAAGTTCAAGTTGTCATAGTAATAGTTGTTTAAACCACTCATTTTGCCAGAACTCAACATGACTAGACCCAACAGAAAATACTGCACTTCTGACCAGGCACAGTGGTTCACGCCTGTCATCCCAGCACTTTGGGAGGCCGAGGAGGGTGGATCACCTGAGGCCAGGAGTTTAAGACCAACCTGGCCAACATAGTGAAACTCCATCTCTACTAAAAATACAAAAATTAGCCAGGTGTGGTGGTGCATGCCTGTAATCCCAGCTACTTGGGAGGCTGAGGCGGGAGAATTGCTTGAACGTGGGAGGCGAAGGTTGCAATCAGCTAAGATTGCAGCACTGCAGCCTGGGCGACAGAGTGAGACTTCGCCTCAAAAACAAAAGCAAAAAATACTGCACACTTCATCCCACAGGCACCCTAAGGTTATCTCCTAAAACCTTGCTAATTCCCTGGTTAAGTTCTTACTTCATCATCTGCTTTTATAGACTTCAGTTTCATCAGGAGCTGAAAGCGTAGCAGGTTGTTGGTTCCAAACGTCTGCAATTCCAGCAGTTTGCAAAGGGCAACCAGCTGAGGGCGATCTAGGTGCTCCAGGGCCAGCTGGTCCTCAAACAGTTTGGAAAATTGAACTATCTCCTTTGTGCTGGGCTTGTGGCCTGTCTGGACCTAGGCAGTGGAACAAAGAAGCCAATTAAAATGTTTCCTACTTAATTTAACTTTCCCACTAGGCTATTTGAAAGAGATGTCAAAGCATTTATGGGACTCTGTGACACATCTGGAAATGGGTCTCATAGTATACAGAAAAGATATCTGTCTGAAGTCAAACTATAACAGCTGAAAAATCAGTAGTTCAAAAGTTTGACTCGAAATCTACTGTTCTTACCAAGAAGTTACCAAGGTCTTCAACACGTTGATTACTTTAAGGCAGGCTTTTCTGCAAACTACTATCAATGTTTATAATATTACATGTTTACAATATCTAATTATGTTCATAATTTAGATATTTGCAGTTTCAAAGATGGTGAACAATTTGGGAAATCCATGAGGACATGGGTTGTTCATATAACTCCCAGCCCTGAAGTTGTTTGGCATTACATAAAAGATGGACACCTGCTTCACGTAGGATGAGAGCCGTGTAGAGGCATCGCCCATCTTGGCTCTGTTCCTCCTTGCCATTTCTGTCATGGTTTCTTGAAGAAATTTTGCTATTTCCAACTTTGCAGCCATTTTCTTTTTCTGTTTTTCTTCCTTAATGGTAGAAGAGTAAAAGTTACTCAAGACTTCATGATTGCAAATTGGTAGATAAAGATGGGAGAAAAATCGCTGTCTCCTTGTTACTGCTCATCCCTACATCATGTAGTCACATGATGCTCAGGCTTAGCTGAATGGGTTTGTGAGACCAGAGCAAGTAAAAAGAAGCCTCCAGCCGGGCGCGGTGGCTCAAGCCTGTAATCCCAGCACTTTGGGAGGCCGAGGCGGGTGGATCACGAGGTCGAGAGATCGAGACCATCCTGGTCAACGTGGTGAAACCCCGTCTCTACTAAAAATACAAAAAATTAGCTGGGCATGGTGGCGCGTGCCTGTAGTCCCAGCTACTCAGGAGGCTGAGGCAGGAGAATTGCTTGAACCCAGGAGGCGGAGGTTGTGGTGAGCCGAGATCGTGCCATTGCACTCCAGCCTGGGTAACAAGAGCGACACTCTGTCTCAAAAAAAAAAAAAAAAAAAAAAAAAAAAGAAGCCTCTATTTGGAAGTTGTCTCCTTACTTTTTGTAATCATAAGCATGTAATAGATCCAAAATGTTCCCCCAATGGGAGGCTTAATATTTATCATTATTTAGAATGAAATACTATATATATATATACATATATATATATAGTATATACATATATACTCATGCCTGTAATCCCAGCATATATATATGCTATATATATATATATGCTATATATATATATAAAATCCCAGCATATATATATGCTATATATATACTATATATAGTATATATAATATATAGTATATATATACTATATATATAGTATTTCATTCTAAATAATGATCATATATACATATATATATATATATATATATATATATATTTTTTTTTTTTTTTTTTTGAGACAAAGTCCCACTCTGTCGCCCAGGCTGGAGTGCAGTGGCAATGATCTTGGCTCACCACAACCCCCACCTTCTGGGCTGTAGCAATTCCCCTGCCTTAGCCTCCTGAATAGCTGAGATTACAGGTGTGTGCCACCACACCTGGCTAATTTTTTTTTCTTTTTCTTTTTTTTTTTTGAGACAGAGTTTCACTCTTGTTACCCAGGCTGGAGTGCAATGGCACGATCTCGGCTCACCGCAACCTCCGCCTCCTGGGTTCAGGCAATTGTTCTGCCTCATCCTCCTGAGTAGCTGGGATTACAGGCACGCACCACCATGCCCTGCTAATTTTTTGTATTTTTAGTAGAGACGGTGTTTCACCATGTTGACCAGGATGGTCTCGATCTCTTGACCTCGTGATCCACCCGCCTCGGCCTCCCAAAGTGCTGGGATTACAGGCTTGAGCCACCGCGCCCGGCCGACTGGTATTTCTTAATCCTTGTTCAATATCAGACATGTAGTATGGTCGCATTTTCAAAATAACCACAGTCAGGACTCAGGGCGGTAAAGAAGAACAGGAATCTGTGTATATTTTTAAGTTGCCTAGGAGATTCTAATGATCAGCCAGTCATAGGAATCACTGATTTTTAGATAGATCTTAAAGGATGTAGACCAAAAAAAAAAAAATCACACAATGGCAAAACCATGGTTGGAAACCACTTAGTGGCCAGGCGCAGTGGCTCACGCCTGTAATCCCAGCACTTTGGGAAGCTGAGGTTGGTGGATCGCCTGAGGTCAGGAGTTCAAGACCAGACTGGCCAACATGGTAAAACTCCATCTCAACTAAAAATACAAACATTAGCCGGGCATGGTGGCACATGCTTGTAATTCCAGTTACTCAGGAGGCTGAGGAGAATCACTTAAACCTGGGAGGCCAGAGAGCTGAGATTGAACCATTGCACTCCAGCCTGGGCAACAAACGTAAAACTCCATCTCAAAAAAAGAAACAAAAAAAAAAAAAACAAGAAGAATTCCTGCCCTCATGGAACTTTTAGTGTAGTGGAAGAGACAAACATTAGTGACTAATGATAATCCAGTAATTCCTCATATTAATAGAGAAGCATAATGGGTAAGTGCTATGAAAGAGAAATGCATGGTACTGTGATCTGATGTAAACAGAAAGCTCCTCTCTCCATGGAACAAAGCAAACAAGAATTTTCTAAGACTGTGGCCATGATGTAGACATATTTGTATGTTTGGGGGAATAAGTGGTGTTCAGGAAAGAAATAACGTTTAAATAAATCACTTCCTCTATTTCCCCATCTTCCTGAATTCACTAATAGTTTTCCTTGGAATGTTATGGCATTAATTCTAGATGCTGATACTTTTTTTTTTTTTTTTTTTAATATGGGGTTTCACCATGATGGCCAGGCTGGTCTTGAACTCCTGACCTCAGGTGATCCACCCACCTTGGCCTCCCAAAGTGCTAGGATTACAGGTGTGAGCCACCATGCCCGGCCTAGATGCTGATTATTTTACATGTAAGCAAATTAAAACATTGCCAGGCAGTCAAATATTGTAATGTGATTTTATCTTGTGGAGGTATCCCAAATTTATCTTTGAGTCTTTTTTTTTCTTTTAAGACGGAATCTCACTCTGTCACCTGGGCTGGAGTGCAGTGGCATGATCTCGGTTCATAGGAACCTCTACTTCCTGGCTACAAGTGATTCTACTGCCTCAGCCTCCCAAGTAGCTGGAACTACAGGTGCATGCCACTATGCCCAGCTAATTTTTGTACTTTTAGTAGAGACGAGGTTTCACCATGTTGGCCAGGCTCATACTGAGCTCCTGACCTTAAGTGATCTAGCCGCCTCTGCCTCCCAAAGTGCTGGGATTACAGGTGTGAGCCACTGCACCTGGCCTTGAAATCTTTATTCTTATTGTCAATTTCATAATGTAGTCTCTGCCATCTCTCTCGGGCTATCATTCCAGCTGGTTTCCCTACCTTGGCTCTGCCCTCTGCAGCCCCTCCCGCCAGCAAAATTATTCTTCCAAAACACAGATCTAATCACGTCATCTACCCAGCTACCCTGCTTCAAATGCTCCCTTTCCATTACTCACCATGAGAAAGCCTAAATTCCTTAAGCAGGTGGATGCCTTCCAACCTGATCCCAACACATCACTTTGTCTGTTTCCTGTCACTGACACCCTGGAACTGCCTACTTCAACCACAAATAACCGACCAGTGGTCTCTGACTACATCATACTCTCTTATGCCACTGAGCCATGTTAAATGCTATTTCTTTTATCCAGAATACCTTTCCCAGACTGTGGTAAAATCCCACTTACTCTTTAAGTCTCAGTTCCAAAGTTACCTTTTCTGTGAAAAATTTCCCAACCTTACTGATGTAAAAGTTGCCCTCTTTGTCCTCTCGTAATGTTTTGTTCACACCTCCTTACCATACGCTATCTAGTAGAGTGGCACAGAAGAGGGAGAAGGAAGGAGCTGCCTCTGTTTTCTCACCTGCACAGTGACTGCCACACTCAATGAAGGCTCCTCCTTCTCAGGGGCTGCCGAACAGTCTGTTGGGCTAAATCAAACCTCGTCACCGCAGTAACTGTGGACTTCTGTTTTCTTTATTCTTTTTATTTTATTTATTTATTTTTTTAAAGACAGGATCTCACTCTTGCCCAGGCTGGAGTGCAGTACAGTGGCATGATCTCAGTTCACTGCAGCCTCGACCTCCTGGGCTTAAACAATCCTCCCACTTCAGCCTCCCAAGTAGCTGAGAATACAGGTGCATGCTACCACACCTGATTAATTTGTTTTAAAATTTTTTGTAGAGACAGGATTCTCGTTATATTGCCCAGGGTGGTCTTGAACTCTTGGGTTCACGCAATCCTCCCACCTTGGCCTCCCGCAGTGCTGGGATTACAGGGATGAGCCACAGCATCCAGCCTGTTCTCTTTATTCTTTTAACAGTTAAAATCAAGTTAGAATTTAGTGGAGAAGAGAAAATCTTTTCAACTAACGGTGTTGCAAAAGCTAGATACCCACATTAAAAAACAAAAAACAAAAAACAAAAAAAAACAGAGAAATGAGGCTAGGCACGGTGGCTCGTGCCTGTAATCCCAGCACTTTGGGAGGCTGAGGTGGGTGGATCATGAGGTCAGGAGATTGAGACCATCCTGGCTAACACAACGAAACCCTGTCTGTACTAAAAATACAAAAAATTACCCGGGCATGGTGGCACGTGCTTGTAGTCCCAGCTACCTGGGAGACTCAGGCAGGAGAATCACTTGAACCCGGGAGGCAGAGGTTGCAGTGAGCCAAGATGGCACCACTACACTCTAGCCTGGTGTCTCAAGAAAAAAAAAAGAGAGAGAGAGAGAGAGAAATGAATCTGGATACTGACATTACAGTTTTCATAAAAATTAACTCGGCTGGGCACAGTGAATGATAGTCTGTTATCTTAGCACTTTGGGAGGCCAAGGCAGGCAGATCACCTGAGGTCAGGAAATCGAGACCAGCCTGGCCAACAAGTTGAAACTTGGCCTCTACTAAAAATACAAAACTTAGCTGGGCGTGGTGGTGGATGCCTCTAATCCCAGCTACTCGGGAGGCTGACGCAGGAGAATCACTTGAGTCTAGGAAGCGGAGGTTGCAGTGAGCTGAGATTGTACCACTGCACTCTAGCCTGGGTGACAGAGTGAGACTCATTCTCAAAAAAAAAAAAAAAAAGTCAACCAAAGATATAAACAGACATCTCCCTGAAGAAGATACACAGATGGTAAATAAGCACAGGAAAGATACTCAACATCAGGCATCCCCAAACTACGGCCCGCGGGCCGCATGCAGCCCCCTGAGGCCATTTATCCGGCTCCCGCCGCACTTCAGAAAGGGGCACCTCTTTCACTGGTGGTCAGTGAGAGGAGCACAGTATGTGGCGGCCCTCCAACAGTCTGAGGGACAGTGAACTGGCCCCCTGTGTAAAAAGTTTGGGGATGCCTGCTCAACATCATATGACATCAGGAGATTACAAATTAAAACAATGAGATACCACTACACATCTATTTCATAGCAGATGTCTAGAGCACTGTCAACATCAAATGCTAGTGAAGATGTGGAACCACAGGAACTCTCATTCATTGCTGGTGACAATATAGTACAATACAACCACTTCAGAAGACCGTTTAGTAATTTCTTAAAAGCTAAACATAGTCTTGCTATCCAATCTATCAATTACTCTCCTAGGCATTTATGCCAGTGAGTTGAAAGCTTACATCTACACAAAAAGCTTGTACATAAGGCCGGGCGCGGTGGCTCACGTCTGTACTCCCAGCACTTTGGGAGGCCGAGGCGGGTGGATCACCTGAAGTCGGGAGTTCAAGACCAGCCTGACCAACATGGAGAAACCCTGTCTTTATTAAAAATACAAAATTAGCTGAGTGTCGTGGTGCATGGTGTAATCCCAGCCACTTGAGAGGCTGAGGCAGGAGAATCACTTGAACCTGGGAGGCGGAGGTTGCAGTGAGCCGAGTTTGCACCATTGCACTCCAGCCTGGGCAACGAAAGCAAAACTCCGTCTCAAACAACAACAAAAAAACCCTGTACATAAGTGTTTATAGAACTTTTATTCATAATTGCCAAAAACTGGAAGTAATCAAGGTGTCCTTTCATAGGAGAATGGATAAACAAACTGTGGTACAGCCATAACAATGGACTATCATTCAGTGATAAAATGAATTGAGCCATGAAAAGAACTTGAAATGCATATTGCTAGGTGAAAGAAGCCAATCTAAAATGGCTACACACTGTATGATCTCAACTATATGACATTCTGGAAAAGGCAAAACTACAAAGACAGAAAAAGATCAGGGGCTGCCTTGAGTTGGAGGAAGAAGAGGAAGGGACAAACAGGTGGAGCATGGGGACTTTTTTTTTTTTTTTAAAGACGAGGCTTCACCATGTTGGTCAGGCTGGTCTTGAACTCCTGACCTCAGGTGATCCACCCACCTTGGCCTCCAAAGTGCTTGGATTACAGGTGTGAGCCACCACACCCGGCCTGGGGATTTTTTTTTAAAGACAGGGTCCTCCTCTGTCACCCAGGCTAGAGTGCAGTGGCACTATCATAGGTCATTGCAGCCTCAACCTCCTGGGCTCAAGTGATCCTCTTGCTTCAGCCTCCCAAGAAACTGGGACCACAGGCATGAGCTATCAGGCCTAACTAATTTTTTTGTTTTTTGTGGAAATGGAGTCTCGCTATGGTGCCCAGTCTGGTCTCAAACTCCTGGGCTCAGGCGATCTACCTGCCTCAGCCTCCCAAAGTGCTGAAATTACAGACATAAGCTACTGTGCTTAGAGCAGTGAAACTACTGAGTATGATACTGTGGTGGTGGATGCATGACCTTATGTATTTCCAAAGCCCACAGAACTGTTTCAACATAAAGAGTAAACCCTAATGTATGAGCTTTAATAATAAAATATCAGTCTTGGTTCTGTAATTGTTACAAATATATCACACTAATGCAAGATATTAATTACAGGAGAAATTGTGACAGGGTATGGTGGGGAGAAGTAGTACTTTCTGCCCAATTTTTCTGTAAACCTAAAAACTTCTCTAATAAAGGTTATTAAATTTTGTTAAAGTTAAAAAAATCCTACATACCTTTTTGGATTCACTTTCAAAAGTTGATGGCAACATCTCTGGGAAGAGTTTCAGAAACACTGGTAATAAGAATTCCATGAAGGGTACAATTATGAACACCATAAATGGAACCAGGCGGAAGAAATCAACACAAGTTCTCAACAGCTATAGAATTAAATGCACATGCAATATTCATTATTTTAGAGCACACTAAAAAACAAAAATCAAAAACAAAACAATAAAAACCCTGTCTTGGTTCATCTTTCTTTCTTTCTTTCTTTTAAGAGACAGTGTTGCATCATGTTGCCCAGTCTGGCCTCAAACTCCTGGGCTCAAAAAATCCTCCCACCTCCCAAGGAGCTGGGATTACAAGCATATGTGCCATGCTCAGCTTGGTTCTTAAAGTGTTAAAACCCCAAGACAGGTTTTCTGCAGTTTATAAAATGAAAAGGCAGAGTTTTCCTGCTTATCATAGCTCTGAAGTAATTTTTATTGGATATCTTGAAGGAAATCTATGATAATAAAAATATTATTGGCATCTCCTAGACTTTATTACGTTAGAGGGTCCATACTTTAATAGCATAGTACCACTTCAAATTGGGGTGTTTTTTGTTTTTTTGAGACACAGTCTCATTCTGTCTCCCAGGCTGGAGTGCAGTGGCACAATCCCAGCTCACTGCAACCTCTGCCTCCCAGGTTCAAGCCATTCTCCTGCCTCAGCCTCCTGGGTAGATGGGACCACAGGCACATGCCACCATGCCTGGCTAATGTTTGTGTTTTTAGTAGACAAGATTTCACCGTGTTGGCCAGTCTGGTCTTAAACATTTGACTTCAAGTGATCTGCCCACCTCTGCCTCCCAAAGTGCTGGGATTACAGGTGTGAGTCATTATGCTCACCCAAAATTGGGTTTTAAAATGTATATGCTTAATATTTAACAATACTTCAAATACGAAGCCTCTCAACTTCTTTTAGAGATTAAAAAACACAATTATAACCATTCTACAAGCATGTATATGTACCCCTGAACCTAAAATAAAAATTTGTTTAAAAACCATACTACAGGCCGGGCACTGTAGCTCATGCCTATAGTCTATGCACTTTGGGAGGCCGAGACGGGCAGATCACCTGAGGTCAGGAGTTCAAGACCAGACTGGCAAACATGGTGAAACCCTGTCTCTACTAAAAAATACAAATATTAGCTGGGCATGGTGGCTCATGCCTATAATCCCAGCTACTGGGGAGGCTGAGGTAGGAGAATTGCTTGAACCGGGACCCGGGAGGCAGAGGTTGCAGCGAGCCAAGATCGCGCCACTGCATTCCAGCCTGGGCTACAGAGCAAGACTTCCAGTTCTCACCAGTAGTTATTATTCCTACTCTGGGAATTTTTTTTTTTTTTTTTTTAGATGGAGTCTCTCACATTGTCGCCTGGGCTGGAGTGCAGTTGCACGATCTTGGCTCACTACAATCTCCACCTCCTGGGTTCAAGTGATTCTCCTGCCTCAGTCTCCCAAGTAGCTGGGATTACAGGCGCCCACCACCATGCCTGGCTATTTTTTTTTTTTTTTTTTTTTTTTGTATTTTTAGAAGAGACAGGGTTTCACTGTGCTGGCCAGACTGGTCTTGAACTCCTGATCTCATGACTGCCTGCCTTGGACTCCCAAAGTGCTGGGATTACAGGCGTGAGCCACTGTGCCTGGCCTAGTCTGAGATTTTTTTTTTTTTTGAAAGGGAGTCTCTCTCGGTCACCCAGGCTGGAGTGTAGTAGCGTGATCTCAGCTCACTGCAACCTTCACCTCCCTGGTTTAAGTGATTCTCCTGCCTCAGCCTCCTGAGTAAATGGGATTACAGGTGCATGCTATGATGCCCAGCTAATTTTTGTATTTTTAGTAGAGACGGAGTTTCACCATGTTGGTCAAGCTGATCTCAAACTCCTGATCTTGTGATCTGCCCACCTCGGCCTCCTGAGTGCAGGGATTACAGGCATGAGCCACCGCACCCAGGCACCTACTCTGGGATGTTTAAGATGAAGTTTATGTTGAATTTAGAGCTCCCAAAGAGTTCATTTTAATTTCACATTTTTCTTCTCAAATACGATTCTTGCCTACCCTTCGTCTCTCTCGTCTGGTCAGGACCTGTCCATGCAACAGCCTCCAAACCATTCTGGCAGCAACTTTGGTGTCAATCCAAAGTAAGTGGAATCCATTGTAATAATATTTAAGTTCATCCATGATTTTTTGTCTGTAAGATTGCTCGCCTTCTTTAATCTTTGTGCCAGTTTCTTTTGTGGCCTGAGGGCTTGTCACCTGTGGATCTTTTGTGGCTTGCTCCAGCTGAGGTTTGCCAGGAACCTCTCGCAGCCAGCAAGTGGATGTGTGTAGCTTTTGCATTAGTCTAGTTTGTGAGTGAAGTACTGTATTGCCTGGCTGACTAGGATCTGAGTACTTCTTGCTCCCATAGTTCTTCAAACATGTCTTATTTAAATGGGAATCTGGCAAGTGAAGAAATGCACATGATGGGGAATAAAAAGAGCAGGTAGGATGGACAAAATGGCTGGAGTATCTGTAATAAAGAGCAACATCCTCTGAGTTAAATACATACTATTACAAAGCACACAGTATCATAAAGCACATACTATTAAAGAAATAGGTAGTACATCTGGTCAAAATAAAACAGCTTTTTTTTTTTTTTTTTCACTTCCATCATCCACACTGGAGTGCAGTGGCATGATTTCAGCTCACAATAACCTCTGCCTCCTGGGCTTAAGGAATTCTCCTGTCTCAGCCTTCTGAGTAGCTTGCCTGGCTCATTTTTGTGTTTTTAGTAGAGACAGGGTTTCACCCAGTTGGCCAGGCTAGTCTCAAATGCCCTACCTCCTGCCTTGAGCTCCCAAAATGTTGGGATTACAGGCGTGAGCCACCATGCCTGGCCAAGGAATATTGTTTCAAAGAAACATTTGATGGTTGCTGAGGGGATTAACCAATCACATAATACTGCCTTGCCTATGCAGTGTCTTTGAACCCCTCAAATGAGAGGCACTTACAGCTAAAATACCCTTCACCTAAATTCTTCAAGAACATTAGGGCTGGGTGCAGTGACTCACGCCTGTAATCTCAGCACTTTGGGAGGCTGAGGCAGGTGGATCACCTGAGGTCAGGAGTTCAAGACCAGACTGGCCAACATGGTGAAACCCCATCTCTACTAAAAATACAAAAATTAGCCAGGTGTGGTATCATGTACCTGTAATCCCAGCTATTAGGGAGGCTGAGGCAGGAGAATTGCTTGAATCCAAGAGGTGAAGGTGCAGTGAGACGAGATTGTGCCACTGCACTCCAGCCTGGGGGACAGAGCAAGACTCTATCTCAAAAAAAAAAAAAAAAGAATTAGGATTGGGCACCCCAATTAAGGATCTCTACATTCTGGTATTGCAACAGCCCATAGTCTGCAGTTAAACTGCCATATCAGATTGTTTGAAAATCAGAGTATGACAGATATAAGCAAAGAAAGTGACTGGCAAAGAGATGGCTTTTTCCATTCTTTCAGGTGTTTGTTTGTTTTGAGACAGGCATGGTTCTCACTCTGTCAACCCAGGGTCCCAGGCTGGAGGGCTGGAGTACAGTGGCATAATCACAGCTCACTGCAGCCATGACCTCCCAGGCTCATGTGGAAGAAATCAACACAAGTTCTCAATAGCCTACAGAATTAAATGCATATGCAATATTCATTATTTTGGAATATGCCAAAAACAAAAGCAAAGAAAACTTGTCTGGGTTTTTTTTTTTTTTTTTTTTTTTTTTTTTTTTTTTTTTTTTTAGCTAGAGTCCTGTTCTGTTGCCCAAGCTGGAGTGCGGTGGCGCAATCTTGGCTCACTGCAACCTCTGCCTCCTGAGTTCAAGTGATTCTCCTGCCTCGGCCTCCCCACAACCTCTACCTCCTGGGTTCAAGTGATTCTCCTGCCTCAGCCTCCTGAGTAGTTAGGACTACAGGCACCCACCACCACACCCGGCTCTTTTTTTTTTTCTTTCTGTTTAAGAGACAGGGTCTTGCTATGTTGCCCAGGCTGGCCTCAAACCTCTGGGCTCAAGCAATTCTCACCTCAGCCTTCCAAGGAGCTGAGATTACAGTACCATGCCTGGCTTGGTTCTTAAAGTGTTAAAAACCCAGGCTGGAGTACAGCAGTGTGATCACAGCTCACTGCAGCCTCGACCTCCCAGGTTCAGCATCCTGAGTAGCTAGGACTAAAGGCCCACACTATCACACCCAGATAGTTTTTAAAATTTTTACAGAGATAAGGTCTCACTATGTTGTCCAGGTTGTTCTTGAACTCCTGGGCTCAAGCTGTCTTTCTGCTTAGACATCCCAAAGTGCTAAGATTATAGGTGTGAGCCACTGTAGCCAGCCTCAGATTTTTTTTTTTTTTTTTTTTTTTTTTGCTGCTTCAGTCAACCAAAGGGACACCTTATTGAGGCTCCAGGGCCATGGGGCCTGGGCAGGAGGCTGCCCTTCCCAGAAGGAAGAGGCTTATTTGACCTTCTTCTTGGGGCACAGGTTGTTGATGTGGCCACATTTCTTGTGGCAGTTGACAGCAGGGGGTGCTGGTGAGCATAGCACTTGCGGCAGATTATCTTGTTGCAGTTGTATTTCTGGGCGAGCTGTCGGAGGGAAGGTTCAATAATGCTACCTCACAGGTGCAGCACCAGGTGCAGGGTGGACTCTTTCTGGATGTTGCAGTCTGAGAGAGTGCAGCCATGCTCCAGCTGTTTGCTGGCAAACATCAGACACTGCTGGTCAGGTAGGATACCCTCCTTGTCTTGAATTTTGGCTTTGACATTCTCAATGGTGTCACCAGTCTCGACCTCAAGGGTGATGGTCTTGCCCGTGAGAGTCTTCACTAAGATCTATATCTCTGCATCTGCATCTCGGCCGCCTTGCTCCATCCTCAGACTATTTTTGAGGCATGCCAAGATAAAACACTCTTTGAATGGCCAAAAAGGGAAAAGTGCTCAGTGAATAGTTTTTACTTAGTCTCAGTGAATAAATAAATGGTAACAGACCTTAATGGGATAGAAAAATGCCCTAAGACTGGCTTGTTCATCAGCCATTTTACTCCCTTTACATCTAAGGACCTCATGTGACATTCATCAATTAAAGATATGTCACTCTAAAACCATTACATCTTCTGGCCAGGCACAGTGGTTCATGCCTGTAATCCCAGCACTTTGGGAAGCCGAGGCTGGTGGATCACCTGAGGTTAGGAGTTCAAGACCAGCCTGGCCAACATGGCAAAACCCCATCTGTACTAAAAATACAAAAATTAGCCGGTGGTGGCGCTTGCCTGTAATCCCTGCTACCTGGAAGGCTGAGGCAGGAAAATTTCTTAAACCTGGAAAGTGGAGGTTGCAGTGTGCCAAGATATCATGCCACTGCACTCCAGCCTGCATGACAGAGTGAGACTCTGTCTCAAAAAAATAAAAGAAAGAAAGAAAAAAAATTGGATCTTCTATCTTAACCTGTACCGCATATCTACAAAATTACTCTGCCTGAGTTCTAAAGCACGTAGAAAATTTGCTGTAAGTTTAAATACATTAAGATGTCAACATCCTAAAAACCAAGTTTTTGTTTTTTTGTTTTTCTTTTTTGAGACAGAGTTTCACTCTTGTCACCCATGCTGGAGTGCAATGGAGCAATCTCAGCTTACTGCAACCTGCAACCTCCGCATCCCAGGTTCAAGCCCAGTCTCCAAGAAAGTTTTAACTGTACGAAGCCAATCCCTTTATACACATCCTTTCCATCTAGAAGGATGAAGTTCAGTCTGGGCAAGGTGACTCATGCCTGTAATCCCCGTACCTTGGGAGTTGAAGGCAGACGGATCACCTGAGGTCAGGGGTTCCAGACCAGCCCGGCCAACATGGTGAAACCCGGTCTCTACTAAAAATACAAAGATTAGTCGGGCATGGTGGCAAACGCCTGTAATCTAGCTACTTGGAGGCTGAGGCGGGAGAATCAATTGAACCCATGAGAAGGTTTGCAGTGAGCAGGGATCGCACCACTACACTCCAGCCTGGGTGACAGAGTGTGACTCCATCTCAAAAAAAAAAAAGAATGAAGTTCATATGGGGGGTTGGCGTGTAACACCAATGCTTACCTTGTTCGAGCAACAGCTAAGACTGAATTATAACTGTAAAAGGCCATACTTATTTTTGTCTCAACTAGTTAACATAGGGACCTAGGCAAAAGGAGTAAGTAAACGATTTAGTATTTTAAAAACACAACAATTAACAAACATCAGGATTTAAGTGTTTTTAACTATTGCAAAGGTAGAACATTTGCCTAGGCAAGGTACAAAATCTCCTTCAAGCTAATTTCCAACAATCGTAGATATTTTCTTTGCTCTGGACTTGAGAATGGTACTTTGAGATCCCAACAAATGGTAATGATCTCTAAGATGATGATGCTCATGAAGATGGTAAGGTCCTCAGAGACATTTTGATTTCTGGTCAACAGTATCTAGTAATGCAATTTCAATGATTGCCAAGTACTTAAAAAGTGGAGCAAGACATACCTATTTGTAGCCTTAAAATATAGGTAAAAAGTAAATATCCTGGATTTCTTTTCAGTTAGCATTGTTCTATATTTAGGCAAGCTGTCCCAAACCCTGAAGACTGAAGTACCCACTAACCTAATTTAGGTAGCAGTGAATGAAGGTAGACATGGAACCTACTAATCGCTCAAGTGGAGGTAAAATTGTTTCCCTTGCTAGTGATTCTCCAGAGCCCAAACTGAGCTTTGAATATGTAGATAACCTTCACCAAAACCATTCTCCATCCAGGGGTGCTTTTCTGCTGAGGGCGGTGATGGGCAGCAGAAGAGCTGGCATATCGCAGTGGCAGCTCTGCTCTCTTTCGGCTGGGAAGGGAGTTCCAGGGGCTCTCCTGGGAAGAAACCTCAACCACAGAGCTGACACTTTGAACAAGGGCTTGGAACCTCTGGACCCATACTAACGGTGGGTGGCATTTCGCTGGCGGGAGACGAGACCCGAGGTGGCGGTTAATCCGCTCGGGCCCGGGCTCTCCCGGGCGGCGGACACCACTCGCACTCACATTGGCACTGCCCCACGCCCGCTGCTCCCAGGCACCCTCGGCTTTGCCCCTCACGACACGGGAGCAAAACGCGCCCTCGGCTTCCTCCGCCGGCGGCCTCGGCGCGCTTGGTGTGTGCGCGGCCTGCATGCGGCGGGGTCCGAGGGATTTGCTTTGGTTTTTTGGCGCGGGGGTGGGACAGGCACCGGAACGACGACCCTGGTGGACGATCGGGGTTGTTGGAAATGAAGCCAAGGAGAAGCAGGGCCTGGGACAGAAAGAAGGACGGAGCGCGCTGTGCGGGGGAGGGGATACCGAGCTTCAGAGTTTGGGACGTGGGCAGGGATGAGGTCGGGAGCGGAGGAGAGCGCGGTGGGAACTGGAAGCTGTCAGGGAGCCTGAATCGGGCGCTGATGGGAGGAGCAGCATGCTGGCGGAGCGGGCTCCCGAGGAAAAAAGAGGCAGCGCGGCCCACCAGGTCGCGGCCTGAAGGTTGGGCCTGCCCACCCCTACCTCCTCGGCCGGGCTCCGCGGAACGGCCGCCGAGGTCCTCCTAGTTCCTTCCCGGGTCCCCCCAGGCACCCCCATGCTAGAAGGGCCCGAAGCCAAGTCTCTACGGCTCCGCCTCTTTTCTCGCCCCTGACGTCAATCTGAGTGACGACATCATCAACCAATAAGCTCTCAAGTTCTGGGGAGGGCGGGCGTCCTTCACCGTAGCAGCCCAGGAAGCCGCAAAGTCACGTTCCCATCAACGAAATAACTTCTCTGTGGGGCTTGATTTAAGGAGCGTTGGTGCTGGGGGGCCCGAAGGTGACGTTTTTCTGTCAGTCCACAATCTGCAGGCTGTGGTTAACCCCTGAGGAAACCCTTGATTGAAGACTGGGTTAAACAGGTTCTTACCCTACTGACAGGGTAATATGTCTGGCAGTCGCCATGGTAACCATCTCGGAGTCACGAATGACATCACTTTGATGTATTCTCCGGCCCCCGCAATTCCGGAACTGCCTCGGGGGCGCGGAGAGGACCTGCTGGTGTCGCAGAAAGGGCGGGAATCGGAAGGAACGCATCCCTCTCCCTTTCTCTCCAGCGGCTGGAATACTGTGAAATATTCTATGGAAATCTGTATTCTACTAAAGATATTCACTTTCCAAATGTTCCCTTAACAAGTGTTGTTTATGATTAGTAGTTTGTTTAGAAATCTCAACATATAAAATGTATGTTATAGTAACTGTGAAATGAGACACTGCAGGTTTGAGGGCACTTCAGTTCCTAGGATGGGCTACTGAGCCATCTTGGGAAAATGAAAGATCAAGAAATATTCTCGTTCCCCAGTTATCTTTTCCCATCCATTTTATCTGGCTCTGGAAGAAAGATTTTAAAAAACTTCTTTTAGGCCGGGAGCGGTGACTCACGCCTGTAATCCCAGCACTTTGGGAGGCCGAGGCGGGCAGATCACAAGATCAGGAGATCGAGAACATCTTGACCAACATGGTGAAACCCCGTCTTTACTAAAAATACAAAATTAGTTGGGGGTGTGGTATGCGCCTACAGGCATACCACCACCATGTAGTACCGGCTACTCTGGAGGCGAAGGCAGGTGAATCGCTTGAACCCAGGAGGCAGAGGTTGCAGTGAGCCGACATCGTGCCACTGCATTCCAGCCTGGGCGACAAGAGGGAAACTCCATCTAAAAAAAAAATTTTTTTTTTAGTGGCTCTACGCCGCCATACAGCAAGGAATCGGTTTCTCACGGAGAATACGTCTCCCAACATGTGAGCTGACCACAGACTTTACTCCTCTGGGCTGCACATTTTTCAGAATGGAAGATGGCGGGTATTAAACGTCAGTAAAAAAATGCAGACTGCTTTTAATCCACAAAGGATTTTTCAGCTAATAACCAAATAGATCAACTTTAAATAGGCAAAACTTTTCAGATTGGCCACTAGAGGTCTCTTTGTGCATGTCTGATGTTCAACTTTGCACATAAAGGTTTCACTTCACGTTCTGTTTACGAGAATTAAAATCTACAAAGCTTTGGACTCTTTACTTTTCCCTCACTGAAAATTCCTGGTGGTCAAATTTTGAGCTCTAAAAGGTAGGTGTAGTTTCCACACTGATTTCATAATTGCACTACCATGTACTGGTACTTTTCTGGAAAAGATCATAAAGGATGCAAAAATATTCTCAGTTCCCTGGGAGACATTTTATATGGGGAAATATTCATGCATTGTATTCACTTACAACGAGGCACAGTGAATATCATTAAGTATTTATAAACCAGATGAACGATTCCATGCCCGGTATTTCAAAGATGAGCTAGGTTTTCTACAACGGCCATATGTCAGCAATCCTATCCTTAAAAAAAAGAAGGTTTAAGAACCCTTCTTATTGAAATCTATTTGTTGAAAGCAATATCTGTCTTCCCTTGTTATGAGACTTGGCAATTTCTTTGACTTTCAGGATAAGTGATTTATCATGTAAGGAGTTTCTGTATATAATCTTAAGAAATTTTTTAAAAAATATTTTTTCCTCCATGACTCTGGCACTGAGAATTGTGTTAGATTGCTGTCTTAATGAGCTGCTTGCTCATTTTCCGTGGTGAAAAGTAAGCATGGTCTAAAACTTAGATGCTGAAAATGTAAATTATTATTTTCAATGGCTATTTTCCTAAATATGGCACTAGTTCAAATATTACTAACTGTATTTTGTAATGTTTTGCAGGAAAAGACTGTGCATCTACTTCACATAATTTTAAACTCCAATTTTAAACTCTTGCTGCCTAATAGCATAGCTATTAAAACAGGCTAATATAAGATCCCTGGGGACAATTTAACAGATTCTCAAGGAAGAAACCCAGGGGCCGGGTCAAGACAACAGTTTCTCAACAAAGCAAGGAAGACACAGGAGGAAGAAAAAGAAGAATAGAAGTAGAAAGGCTCATAGAAAAACAAAACACTAATTTAATTAATCCCTCTTTCCTGGAGATAGAATTAAGCTAGACTTGGTGGCCTGCTTTGGCCATCTGTGTTTTAAAAAAAGCCATATCACAAATTAAAAGTATGCTTTTACTGATAGCTTAAACTTGTGGTACTACTTAAAGCATACGTCTAAAAATATTTAATGATTAATACTAATGAGAACTCTTACTTTTCAGTACCATCCTTAGTAGAATTAACCGGATTACGTTTTTGTTTTTGTTTTTTTAAGTGGTTCATAACTAGTGCCCATTCAAATAACTGATCTGTAGGAATGTTTTAATTTCCTGTTTACGTGGTAGTTAAAGATATAGATACCTAATTTCTTGTAATAGTACCAAAGACATCCAGCACTGTAACGTCTACAGAGAGTATGACGTCTAGCAGTGAAATGGCTTTATTATTCTCAGAACAGACAGTATCGGTTTCCTCATTTGCTTGCTGCCTGTGTTTCTTTTTTAGTTCCCGTTTCTGTGCTGTAACCTTCTAAGTCCTAATCACCAGGCCCCAGGAAATATCACCTGGTCGGCACGCTCCTGCGGGGCTAGATCACTGGTGCAGACGTCTAACCTTCCATTGTTTTCCATACATTTCCTAGGATCCGGGGGGCTAGAGGATGACGGAGAATTGCCTCCCAGTTCCTCCTCTGGTTCTTGCTTGGGCCGTCTAGGACAAATATCCCTCAGGTCCCTCGATGCGAAGGTCTGGCGGCGAGGAGCCGCGGGCCACGGCACGTGACGGGCACGGAGCCGTCGCGGTCTCCCGCGGCCGGGGGGCACTGGGGGATGCGGTGGGCGCTGACGTCCTCCCGGTTACCCACAAGCCTCCGGGCCGCAGCTGAGCAGGAAGAGACGCGCGGGGCCGGCGCTTGCCGGGGAAGTCGGGGCGCTTCCTCAGCGGGACTGTGCCACCGGCCCGGCCTCCTACGGCTGGCAACCGGGGGAGGGGGACCATCGACAACCCAGCCGGGGCTGAGAGGGAAACCGCCCCCAAGGCGGTCTTGCATCGCCCCCCGCATTCCAGATGCAGACCCTCCTGGAATGGGAGCCCTTCCCTGACAGCTGTGGGATGGGAGACCGCCGAGGGGTCGCCTGGACTGCCCTGCCCTCGCGCAGTCGCCCACCGGGGACCGCGAGAGGGTCGCTTCTAACCTCGAAGAGCGCCATATGGCCCTGAATGCACGCTGTTCTCTAATCAGCTTCATAGAACGCGCCGAGCCCAGTTTTCCCTTCCGGGCCCCACCTTTCCCCGCCTCCTCCAGCTTCCCGGGGTGTTTTGTGTGTCACTCTCCCTCACACCGTCCCTCCCCGTCCCTCAGCCCTCTCGCCCAGTCTCCCCGGTAGTCCAGACGCTAGCGGCCGCGGGCGTTCCTGGTTCGCGCTCCCGCCCCCTTTGCCCAGCAGACTCGCCGCTTGCTCCTGGGCCCCTAGCGCCCCGAACCCGGGACTGCATTTCCCGGCAGGCACCGCGGCCCGCGGCCAATAAGGGGCTGAGGATTTGGCGGCGGCGGAGCCCGGAGAGTCGGGGTGGGGGGGCTTTGTGCGCGGCGGCGGCGGGAGCGGCGGCGGCGGCGGCGGCCAGCACGGAGGCGGAGGCCGAGGGGGCTGTGCACAGGTCGCCGCGGAGAGGCGTGCGAATTCGGAGCCGAGAGCTGAGGACCCTGCTGCCCAGGCCGGGCCGCCAGCCTTAGGCTACTCTCTGGCGGTGTCGGCGGCGGGGCGACCTCAGTCCCTCGGCCTCCTCTTCCCTCCCCACCTTCCGAGCCTTCCTTCTCCCGCGGCACGCCCGGCCCGGCCCGGCCCGGCCGTGGCCCTCCTCGGTGCCGGCCGCCATGGCAGAGGCGTCCGGCGCGGGGAAAATCTAGCTCGGGGATTTCATGCGGCCTAGCTCGGTTCCGCCTCCTCCCCGCGCGGCCCCGGCGGCTGCCCGCACCCCAGCCCCACTCCGGGCCTCCGTGTCTCTCCTGTGATCGCACTGACACGGCCGGGGGGTTAGAATGGAACAAACTGAAGGTAAAGTGCATGTGTGTGTGTGTCCCCGCGCGCGTGTAGTACAAGGAAGGGCTGAGGAGGGAACGACGGGGAGGGGGCGACCTAAGGCTGGGGCACCAGACCCCAGGAGGAATGGAAGGGGAAGCTGGTGGCCTGAACCGGCTCGAGGGGAGTCCTGACGGAGGAGCAGATGGCCAGGTGGGGGGTGTGGAGGGAATTGGGGGGTGGGGCAGGGGAGGTGGGAGTGGGATCCGAGTCGGAGTGGCGCTGAGCTGGGAATTGGGAGTAGAAGTGGGATGGGGGCGGGGATAAGGATGGGATGGGGAGGGGCAGGGAAAGGGGTGAAGAGTTGCACGGAGATTAGAGACCTGGGTGGACTGAGATAAATAGTGAGGTTTGGGGATGGAGTGTGGGAAGCCGAAGAGTCTAGGGGAAGGGGATAAATTTGCTGGAGAAATGGGGTATTTTATGTTAATGAAGGGAGAAACGAGGAATGAAAGTGAAGGAAAAGGTGGATTAGGAAAAGGGATGAGGCAGGCTGCAATAGGAGGATGGGAAATAGACGCAGGAAACTGGAAGACAGGATTGGGCTAGGGAAGGAAATTAACTGAATGGTGACAGGGATGAGAACGATCGGCTTAGCGTCAGAGTGGGAGGAAAAGAAGGGGATGGGGGTCGTTGAAGTGTTAGGAAGGGAAGCCTTTTGTTCCTATATTTGTGTGTATTCTGTGCCTTTCTTTCAAGCAAGAGAATAGAGAAGCTAGTGGTTATGGGATTGTGATTGTTGTGAAATGTGGAGGTGTGGGTTTTACTGTTTTGAGGGAGGAGGCGATGTGTTTGTGTTATGGTAGGGAGGCAGGGAGAGACATGGCCATAATTTGACGGTTTGCGGGAGGGAGTGAAGATTATTCCGATTTAAAGGGGGCAGGGGCAGCCATGTTTGCTGCCAGGCACTGCAGTGTAAATAAATTCCTTTTCCTCTCCGACATCAGTGTGAATCTGGAAGAGGCCAGTTCAGAATGTTAGCCCCCTTTCTTTCTGTTCATGAACTCTTTTACCCTTACATCTTGGGTCATTTAAATTATTCATAACAGCCAAAGGAGGTAGTGATGTTTTCCATTTTGTGTGGTTTTGCTGCTTTTCTCTCTCTCTTTACCCTCTTCCTTCTGGTTGTAAATAAGGAATGCTGATAAGCTGCAGTGTAAATTTAACCCTTTTAATCAATCGAAAACTAGATTTTTACTAGTTGAAGGAATTATTGCTACGCTTACATATAAAACATGATCATCAAGTATTTTACGTATTGAAAATTCGTTTGTTTCAGAAGCCCCAGAACCAGTCAGCATGTTTTCTGCAATTCTTTAAGTAAACAAGGAAATTGCATCGGTTGTTTTACTTGGGCCTGTGCTCTTGGCAAAGCGCTGTGTCCGGGTGAAAGCGGTAGGAAGATCTGCTTGTGGTAGATTATCTGCTTGCTGTGTTCTGAATGTTGAAAAATTAGAAATGTATATATTTTTAAATAGTATTTCTGATAGCTCTTGCTTATAGTTGATGAGCTCTTGCTTATAGGTGTTGAGTGATGAGTGTGTTAATAGTATTTTCTTTTTAAAATAAACTCTTTCCCCATCTCTTCCTTTTGCCTTCATATAGCTAGCTCAATACAGTCTCCAGATGCCAGTTTAGCACAGTGCAATGATCTATGAAGCAGGCGTGCAGTTTTTAGAGTCTCATTGACATGCCAGGATTTTGTTGTTGTTTTGTTTGTTTTTTGATGGGAACTTGAGGCGACTCTCAGGAAAGCTACAGTAACTTCAGTATGCTCAACTGTAACTACTTGTGCAATTTGAAATAATTACTATTCTAAGGTTTAAATTCTGACAAATTTACAGAAGATACATTGGTGTTAAGTAGAGCCTATTTTATTTCATATTGAAAATGATTAAATGTGTGTGTGACCGTCTGTTTTTATTATAGCAGTTGGAGTAATCCAAACTTTAACCTATCAAATTTGTATTGAAACTGTTCTCTAATACCAAGAAGGCCTGTTAACATTGTAATATGGTAGACTCAAACCAGTTGAACTGCGTTTATTCTACCTAAATGGCAACATCCTTTCAGTTGTTATATAGAAGCTTAGGATATATTTTTGGTTTGTTAGAAAAATTAAAATGAATATCATTAAAGTGGTATTTTGAGAGGGTCTTTTAGTTTAAAAGCCAGATTTGCAACATGGAGTATTTTATTTTGATAATATTCAACCTGAATTTGTTTGAAATTCTGTGAGGAAAAGCTGCATTCAAAAAAAAAATAATTCAGCATGCTTTTTTTGGAATTTATTTTTATGGCAGTTTGTTTTATAGCCCCTACTCAATTGACATCTTATTTGTAATTAGCTAGTAAATTGTATACATGAACTATCAGTGATGTAAATTTTTAGGAAAATAAGCAATCATTAAATAGAAAATTTTGTGTTGGAAGCTTTCATTGCTTAAACAAAAAAGAAAGAAAGAAAAGAAAAGAAATGGTTTATTTTTATGTATTCAGCATCCTTTAAAGATCAGGGTTCCTGCCCAGCTGTCATAAGTATCCTGGTTCCTTGGATAGGTATTCATATACAAAGAAGCCTACTCTTGTTAAGTAACACATAAAACCCAAACTCTGATTGACATGTCCATCACCTGTTACCTGTGATTTTTTTTTTTAACCTTAAATTAACAAATGCCCTCTCTTACATTGATCGGATTGAATGAGCTTTGGATAAAAGAAACTGATTGTCTTTGAGATTGATGACTGTTGAGTGAACTGTCAAATCTGATTATAATAACAGCAGTTTCTGGAATTTATAATAATATTCATAATAATTCCAGTAATATCTGCTCACAGTTGTCCTCACATTGTGCTATGCCGAGTGTCTGACATACATGATTTCCTAATTTTCTTTTATCCTTCCAACAGTTTGTGAAGTTAGTACTTTTTTTTTTTTTTTTTTTTTTTTTTTTTAAGGCTTTCATGGCAACCTCTACCTCTCGGATTCAAGCAATTCTCTGCCTCAGTTTTTTTTTGAGGTGTCTTGCTCTGTCACCCAGGCTGGAGTGCAATGGAACAATCTCAGCTCACTACAACCTCCCCCTCCCAGGTTCAAGCAATTCTCCTGCCTCAGCCTCCTGAGTAGCTGGGATTACAGGCATCTGTTGCCATGCCCAGCTAATTTTTGTATTTTTTTTTTTTTTTTTGGTACAGATGGGGTTTCACCACATTGGCCAGGCTGGTCTCGAACTCCTGACCTCGTGATCCACCCGCCTTAGCTTCCCAAAGCGCTGGGATTACAGGTGTGAGCCACTGTACCCAGCCGATACAGAGGCTTTTGTTTGTTTGTTTTGAGACAGAGGTTTGCTCTTATTGCCCAGGTTGGAGTGTCTCAAACAAAAAAAAAAAGAAGCTGGGCATGGTGGCTCATGCCTGTAATCCCAGAACTTTGGGAGGCCAAGGCAGGCAGATCACAAGGTCAGGTATTCGAGACCAGCCTGGCCAACATGGTGAAACTCTGTCTTTACTTAAAAATAGAAAAAATTAGGCGCACATGGTGGTGCACACCTGTAATCCCAGCTACTTGGGAGGCTGAGGCAGGAGAATTGCTTGAACCTGGGAGTCGGAGGTTGCAGTGAACCAAGAGCACGCCATTGCACTCCAGCCTGGGTAACAAGAGTGAAACTCTGTCAGACAGACAGAGAGAGGAAGGCAGAGAGGGAGGGAGGGAGGAAGGGGAAGGGAAGGGAAGGGAGGGGAAGGAAAGACAAGGGAAGGAAAGGGAAGGAAGGGCCCACATATCTTAGAAGGCTAAAATAAAGTTAGCACTCTTCCACTGATAACTTATAAACTTGAAGTTTCTTTTATGTCCTTCTAAGAAAACTTCTGTGCTTGTACGTGTATATCTCTCAAAGTACTTACAAATGGGTCATGCTATCTGCATTTTGCTTTTCCAGTGCTGATGGTGGTGGTTGTTTTTTGTTTGTTTGTTTGGTTGGTTGGTTTTTGTTTTTGTTTTGAGACAGAATTTCGCTCTTGTTGCCCAGTCTGGATACAATGGTGCGACCTCGGCTCACTGCATCCTTTACCTCCTGGGTTCAAGTGGTTCTCCGTGCCTCAGCCTCCCTAGTAGCTGGGATTACAGGCATATGCCACCACGCCTAATTTTTGTATTTTTAGTAGAGATGGGGTTTCACATTGTTGGTCACTCCTGACCTCAGGTGATCCGCCCGCATTGGCCTCCCAAAGTGCTGGGATTATGGGCATCAGCCACTGCACCTGGCCACTTTTTCTTTTTAACAGGCTATCTGGGACATCTTTTTAAATTAGTACGTGTGGATCCACGGCCGGGTACAGTGGCTCACGCCTGTAATCCCAGAATTTTGGGAGGGAAACTGAGGCAGTTGGATTGCTTGAGGTCAGGAGTTTGAGACCATCCTGGCCAACATGATGAAACTCTCACCTCTACCAAAATAACAAAGATTAGCTGGGTATGGTGGCTGGCACCTGTAATCCCAGCTACTCCAGAGACTGAGATGGGAGAATCACTTGAACCCCGAGGGGGAAGCTGCTGTGAGCCGAGATTGCACTGCACTCCAGCCTGAGTGACAGAGTGAGATTCCATCTCAAAAACAAAACAAAAACAAAACAAGGCCGGGCATGGTGGCTCATGCCTATAATCCCAGCACTCCGGGAGGTGGAGGCAGGCAGATCACTTGAGGTCAGGAATTCGAGACCAGCCTGGCCAGCATGGTGAAACCCTCCCCCACCACCCCATCTCTACTAAAACTACAAAAATTAGCTGAGCATGGTGGTGTATGCCTGTAATCCCAGCTACTGGGGAGGCTGAGACAGGCAAATCACTTGAACCTGGGAGGCGGAGATTGTAGTGAGCTGAGATTGTGCCACTGCACTCCAGCCTGGGAGACAAATTGAGACTCCGTCTCAAAAACAAAGCAAAAAACCAAAACAATAAAAATTAGTACATATGGATC